AGTGGTTAATTCAAAAGTATCACTCTTAAAGGTTTATCTGGTACATTTTACAAAAGGTTTGTCATCCTCGCCTTCTTCATACTTGTTAAATGGATACTCAACCACCTTGCACTTCACATCTAATAAAAATTTTCACCTTATCACAAAAACTGGACCTTTACTTCAGTTGTTGTTGCTGTTGGTTGTTAGGTGATTTCTTCCATCTTTTGAAACCACTTCTGATTAACTCTATCAGTTATTCCAGCCCTCTCTTTATTATTACAATATTATTATTATTCCTTTGGGTTCTTAGTGAATAATAGGGCTTCAGCAGGACGTCTCCACTTTGCTGTTCCCTTTAGCTGACCTCATCCGCGATTGCCCATCATCTCATCTTCTCCAACTCGCCACACGATCTCCTACACATGTCACCCTCGCATCTACGCTCAACTCGTCCTTTTCCATTCAAGTTCCACTAAAGCAGTGGCCTGGCACACGGTGTCATTTGACGGTCTCCTCAGTGTGTGCTCAATCTATCTCCACTTTCTTCTACATATTTATGGAGCAATAGGTTTTCGGCTCGTTTCTTCCCAATATGCAGCCAACTGCTGATAAAAGAGTCTGCAGTAGCCTCTTCAAAATGCTTTTCACAATGCGGGTGCCAAGTTTTTGAGCTGTATATAGAAGATGTGATTAACTTAACATTGGTGTCGAAAATCCAAATTTTGTTCTCTGTGTTAAGTGCAAAAGATTTCCAAACTGATTTTAGAGTGGCGAAGTGGTGGAGTCTTGCCCTTGTCAACCCGGTTTCTACATCCTCATCCGTGTTATCAACTGCACTTGAAACTATTCTGCTTAGATAAGGAGTGAAGGAAGTGACTTCTGTCAGATCTCTCCCCCGTTGAAAGTGATTGATATTGGTTGTTATTGGTGAGTGGTTATCTGCATCACCTCCATTTGAAGAGTCCCGTCTTTGCTGGCCGCTTCTTCAGCCAGTTTGTTGGTATTCGCCTGTTATCTCTCTCTTAGTTCTTAATAATAATAATAATAGGCTGCCATACCTTTTAGAGTAAATATAAACACGATTGTAAAATCTATGAATCATGACTTTATTGAAGGACAGAACTTTTTTTTCGTTGAAATTTCTGTCTTTTTTTCATGTTTCAGTGGATATTTTTGATGTTTTAACTGCTAATAATTTACCATAATTACTATCATTATTATTATTATTCCCTCGGGTCTTCCCTTCAGCTGGCTCCACAATTGCTAATTAGCCTTGATCTTCTCTGCCTCACACGATCTTCTCCATTTCATACTTAGACTAACGCCCAACTCGTTGTGTTTCCTATCAGAGTTCCACTCAAGTGATATCTCTCAACGTTCTCCTCAGCGCATGTCCTATCCATCTCTGTTTTTTTCTTAGTTTATTAGCCAGTCCTAAGCCTGGAAAAAGACAGAAGATTGGGAGTGGGATTAAAGCGACCCTACCCCAGAAAATCACTCCAATCGCTAAAGGAACTTCAAAGCATAATAAAAATATAAATTCACCACAGTACCGTAAATTAATTAAGGTTTAGGTTTTTTTTAAGTATTTGATTTTCAAGAGTTTTGTTTTCAGGTCTGACCGCGGATTGATTTCAGCTGGAGAATCAGTACTGAAGAAGTGCTTGTAACTGTTTCGTCATAGATTTAGGACTCATCATCAGTGTGCACTCACCGCCAGAGTTTGAAACGAGGACCTGCCGGTTATAAGTCAAGCATATAGAACATTTTTACCCTGTTTGATCCAACTCAGTGGTCCACAAGGTCTAATTTCTACCAATTCGTAATGCATTTAGCACGACCGTTAGAATAGAATTTATTGGCCACTGAGTTGGGTGGCAGTGGGTGACTGGTTTCAACCAGCTTGACTTGTAACACCGAAGAGCTCTGCGCTCGATACCCAGTGGGTGCGTACTGCCAGCGACTTCCAGTACTCCCTGGGATTTCCAATGGTTATCTAGCTAATATCAATCCGTGGTTAATCTCCAAAATATCTGATTTAAAATAAGGAAAGACTATTTTTAATTAAAATGGTTATAGGTTCACAAGTCTACATCACGTACCAGGCCGTCTGGTGGAATCTGAATAGGAGAAAATGAAATACGAATGAGTCGGAGGGTGACATGGTGAAGATCGTGTGAGGTGTAAGAGGAGGAGAAGACGATCGTGAAGCCAGCTAAATTAAAGACTGAAGAGAACAGTATGAAATAAAGATGTACCGACGAAATCCTATTCCACTTATAATCCAAACGAATAATAGTATTAATAAATATAATATATACACAATATATATGTATTGTTTTATTGATTTCCTCCCTTACAGAGGACCATTCAGCGTTATAAGACGTTGTACGCATAAAGAGACTGGTGTTGAATATGCAGTGAAAATAGTTGATGTTGTAAAGTTTACAAGTAGTCCAGGACTTTCTACAGCAGGTAATTATTCATTTTTTATAACTTTTCTTTTTCATCTTAATACATTTTCATCGTTTTATTTATATCTATAAAAATTATGATAAGAGAACTCTAAATGGGAAAAACATTTAATCTTTCAAAATGTTTGAGGAATAGGGCTAAGAAAAAACCACAACTAAATAGTACCAAAGAAAAATCTTTGTCAGGAAGTAAGACACATAAGAGAAGCTTTAGCACATTTGGTAGAAGTTGGAATTCATGGGCCATTGGATCGCGACCCAGTGGCTGAATGGTCTACGAGCTAGCTCACCTTGTAACCGTAAGATCCTCAGTACGAACCCCAGTGCATACTGTTGAAGAGTCCCCGACTTGGACGAAACAGACGTCCCATAATCTCTGGAGACTTTCCAGTGGTTCTTTAACCGATATCAGCTCATGTCTGTTGCTTTACAGCCAAGGCAGAAATAGGGATTGTACATACTAACTTCTCTTGTACATAAATATATATTCTTTGCCGTTCCCAGTGGAGTATAGCGGTTTCAAGCCTCAGCTTTGAAATTACAGTACTAGTTTTTTTTTTATTTTTCAGGGGATCGAGTTGCTAGTCTCACGTCCAACCTTCCTTTTTCACCGGGTTTTACCACCGGCTGAGCGAGGTTAAGGAGTGCGTCTGCCGGGATTTGAACCTCAGATCATTTACACGGTTAGCGAACGTTCTACCGCTAACTCACGGACTCTTTGTGCAAAAAGGTCTGGTTTAAATGAATGAATGAATGAATGATCAAGGCCTCCACTATCTTTAGAAGTTTATAAAGAAGAAAACTCGTCAGTTTAGCATGAATGCGATCTTAAAATAATGGTCAGGGTTGATAGAGTATCAGGAGTCGATCAAGTGTTCTAGAATAGAGCTTAATTAGTGGATTAACATTAACACCCATCATCATCATCATCAACGGGAGAGATTTGATGGAGGTTACCTCCTTCACTTATCTAGGAAGCATTGTTTCAACCACAGACAGGCGTAACGGATGGAGATGTCAAAGTTGACCAGCCAGAATCGTAAAGGCAAGATACACTTTCATCAACCTGAAACCAATTTAGAAATCTTCTGCACTAACTCAGCATAAGAAACAAAATTCAGATTTTCAACACAAATGCGAACTCAGTCAGTCAGTCAGTCAGTTCTTCTATATGGGTCAGAAACTTGCACTGCGCGTATCACAAAGAGGATTTTCAACAGGCTATTACAGAATTTTATCAACAGCTGCCTTCTTCGCTGGCTCGATATACTGAAGATCAAATGGCCTACCAGTCGGCCGGCCAGAAAGAATTAGCAACAAGAAGCTCTGGTTGGCAACAAACCAACCGGCGAGAGCCAATCGCTCAACAAATATGTGGGACAGAATAGAGATAGATCGGGCATACGTTGAAGAGACCACCATCGAATGACGTCTTGCATAATGCAAGCCATCTCTCGAGTGGAATCCCAATGGGAAGCGACGAGTGGGTCGTTGGCTCGAGGGAGGAGATCGTGTGGCGAGTTGGAGGTGATGAGCGATTATTGACAATCGTGGAGCTACCTGAAGAAGACAGCAGAAAATAGGAGAAAGTGGAGATGTATTGTTGAATCCCTATGTTCCACTCTGAACCCAAAGGAATAATAATATATAATATATGTAGTTTACCACTTGCTACTTAACTATGATTACAATCACAAATAATGCACAATCTTCACTTATAATACTATCAAGCCTTTCTTTCCCATACACCGCTTAATGCCACCACAACGTTAGATCTTATATTCATAATTTCTGTATCTATCACTATCCCAGGTTAGGACTAAATAATTGTTCAAATAACTCTTCTCTAACTTTCATTGCTTCTCTTCTACAAACAAAAAATGTGTCAATTTCTGCCAAGTAAACTATTTTGAAAGTAATGCGATAAGATTGTCACGCTAGCCTAATTTTTCGCTGTCTATTTCCACTCATTATACTGTCCTAACATGAGTGTGTGTGTGTGTGCGCGCGCGCTCGCTCGCGCGTGTATATATGTGTCTATTCATTCGCCTGCCCCTGTGTGTCCATCGCTGTCTTGGCTATCTGAACTATTTTGGTCTTATTATTATTATTTTTTTTTACTGAATATATTCATGTGTGTTTAACCGGGATCTTCAATTATTATTACGTGACCTAATAGGCATTATTTAGTTTTATGCCTTCCTTTGACCAATGAATTTTCCGATAAATTAAAGCTACTACTACTGCTCTTGTTAGTAGTACTACTAATACTAATACTACTTACCTGTCTGTCCTACACTCTCATTCGTATGTCATTTTTCTCATCCTAATGCCACACATATCGTAGACATAGATAGACACACGCACAGCTGTTCGCACACACCCACACACACACGTACATGTAGGCATACAGACAGATCAGCCCAGATCTAAAAAAATTGTTTGAAATGCGAAAGAAAATTTTCCAGTGTTGGTTTTGTAGGGATTTGGTTTGATTGTATGAAGGATTTAATCATGAGCTGACATCAGTTAGAGAACCACTGGAAAACCTGGGAGTACTGGACAGCTGTTTCGTCCTAGTTTGGGACTCCTCAGCAGTATGCACCCACCACCACAGTTCGAGCGAGCCCGTAGACCATGAAGCCATTGAGACCGGATCTAATGGTCCATGAATTCTAACTTCTGCCGATTCACGAGGTAGCGCGACTGCTAACCAATATCATCCGTGGCGAGTGTTTGTTCGCACACCCGACCTGCTGCACCCTACTGGTCACGGCTTCCCACTAGGACCCCAGGTTAACTGCCTGAATAGGGCCAGTCACTAGTGAGCATCAGATTAATTTTCAAGTGTTGGTTTTGTAGGGATTTTGTTTGATTGTATGGAGGATTTAATCATGAGCTGACATCAGTTAGAGAACCACTGGAAAACCTGGGAGTACTGGACAGCTGTTTTGTCCTAGTTTGGGACTCCTCAGCGGTACGCACCCAATTTTTTTCCGTTAATGATATTCCTCTAAATTATTTATTTTTATTTATTCCGTTTTCTTTGTTATATATTTTTGTCGTTGTATTTTTGGTTGTTAGTGTGAGTAGAGCTAAAGGAGGGCAACAGAAGAGAAGGATATTGAAGAAGGAAAAAAACGGACGAAAAGTAGCTGTGATAATGAATCGAAACAAAAAAGATACAAAAACAGACGTGATATAGCGAGAGATAGAGAGAGACACGCACGTACAGAGGAAGAGTATTCGAATTTCTTTATTACACACAAAAATACCTACCCATGTAGAGACTATTATTACTTAATTCAATGTAGACTTTCTCGTTGACTGACTAGATAGAGGTGCTCGGCTTCTGTTGAGAAACTTATGAGTCCTAAATAGGACGAAATGTGCGTTGTCCTGAATTCCACTGCCAGTAACTATGTACCATCCTCAGACATCATCGAAACATCCGCACAAGGAACCGACATGTCAACCTGAGGCCTAATACTTCTGTTCCCAAACAATCAACGGGAAAGTCCCACATCTATGTGCATTTATTCTTTTACCTGCTCCTGTGGAGCTGATTATATTGGACGTTGTAAGCGTAATCTCCGAAAACGTGTAGCTGAACACTATCCAGTTTGGTTAATGAAAGCCGAATGTAGAACTGTGAAGTCGTCTATTTGTGACCACCTGTTAGATAGAGTCTGGTTATTGAGCCCCACGTGATTCATCTATCAAAGTTATCTACATGGCAAAGTCGGATCGATCCAAAAGTTTACGTTTTCTTCACTTGTGCATAACCGAAGCCTTAGCTATACATGAACAGAAACTTAAATTATGTGTTCATAAACGTTTTGTCAAACCCCTTTCTTTACCTTGGTCATAGTAATGTTCTTTCTAGTTTTTATTTTATTTTACTACTTGAATTCATTTCACTTCACTTCACATCTTCATTCTTGTCGTAATCGTACTCCTAATTTTTAAAATTTTTAGACAACGCTTGACATTATTTTAAAAATATTTTTGGTATCAATTCACTTATATAACAGTCTTTAATAATTTTTTTAATTTACCCACTTCAACTCTACCGCTTATAACATTTTGATTATCGTTATTCTTATCACATGTATGTATGCATATTGACTGATCAATTATTTAGTGACACTTAATAACCACCTTTTTCCGTAATATAAATACGACTGTACAGTTGGCTTGAAAATGAAGTCGTTGAAAAGAAATTTCTTCTCTGAACAAAAAGAAAACTGTGTTTTTACTTATGAATAAATGAGTATTTTTCGTGATTTAAATTAAAAGTGATATTCGTTGCACAAGAGGGGTGGTCCTCGTTAACCCAAGTTGTCTAGTGGATAACGCTTTGGCGTTCGGAACTATTGGTTTTGCGCTTCAGTGGGAACACTATCAATTATTAGGAAATGTAGGTGTATACAGCTGACAAGTCCTGCTTAGGATGAAACGCGGATCCTGGATCCCAGTGTTAATCACCATCTAGTGAACTAACAATACAGACATCGAAATAAAAACAAACTAGGATGAAACAGCAGCTGTCCAGTACTCCCTGGTTTTCACTGGTTCTATAACTGATATCAATCCGTGATCAACTCGTAAAAAAAAATAAATTTTGGAAGGTATTTCACATGGTTTCATAATTTGCTTTATAAAGTTTTACTCTCTCTTGTTTTTATATTGTAATCTCGCATAAACCCGGGTTAGGCGTTACGTAATTTCGATTGCACGTGCGTTGATGTTGATTCAACGAACCAGGATTAATTGATCAAGTTTCCTGTCAAATCGTGGAAAATACCCATCAGGACATTTCATTAGAGGGGAAATAAAACGGCAACTTCGGTGAACAGATATCTTTTTGGCGATTTCATTCTCTAAAGCACAGCTCTACAATCGCATTTATATACACATAAGTCTACATAGATACAAATTATTCTTATTTAATTCCACATAATATGAAGGAAATCAATGGTGTCCTAACACCACAACTTCGTCGATTGATTTTCCCTCCTTACCTAGCACTCAACCAAAGCCTAACCTCAATATTACATACTCTATTATATCACCTGACATGTGTGAGATATAACACAGACATCAGTGGTCAAAGACAGCCAACCAGCCTTTTCATGTCTTCCACTTTCAGTGCCCATGTCTTCTCTTCTTCTGCTTCTTCTTTATTCCTTTACATTCCCAGTGGATCACAAATCTTCAAGCTAGAGGCTTTAATTTTCAGGAGCAGTGGTGTTTATTTCCACGGGATTTGGTTGCTAGCCTCATGCTTTACAACCTTTCCTATTTACCAGTCTTATTACTGGCTTAGCGAGGTAAAGGAGTGGTGTGCATCGGTGGCCGGGGATCAAGCCCGAACCATATGTGGGGTTGTTGGCGAGCATTCTACTTCTGTGCCACCGACGTACAGTGCTCATGTCTTGCAACCATAAAAGAGGATGGAGCCAACTACTTCTCAGTGCAGATGTCATTTGATCGATTGCCGGATATTTTTGGGTTGGTAAATACCACAAGAGAATTTTGTATCTTTGCTGAGATTTAGTCAGCCAACAGTTAGCCTTTTGGGGCTGCCGACTAACTGATATTCTTGAATAAGGCATTAGAAAGACAAATTTCGCCGCGAGATGATATATTCATTTCGTAGTTTCTTTACAACCGGTTTACAACGAACATGGTTAAGAATAATTAAATAAAATGTATGACAATTACTCAGTTAAATAAAAAACAAAAGTACATACTAATGACCAATCATATTTAGATAGATCATGTTAACCTACCATTCAAAGGCGACCAGATTATGCAGTTGAAAGTTAGCTCAAAGACTTCGGTCAGCCATCAAACCACATTCTACGCCGCATATCTTTTTGTCACATCCCGAACATTTTCCATCCCTGTACCTACGATTAAAGGACGAAAATCTGTGGACTCAACTTCAAACTGTTTCTACAAGTTCACTTGCAGCTGCGGTGACACACATCTATATAGGTAGAACCAACAGAATGTTCCAATGTCGTCGAAAAGAACATGTTCCAAAATGGCTACTAAATCATATAGAAAATCCCAATGCGATTAATCTGAATAGACATCCAGCATCATCTATTGCAAAACACTTATTAATGTCAGGTCACAAAATCAATCAATATTAATGACTGTTTCACAATTATCTCATTACATAACTCTAATTCAAGGTTGGTTATTGAAGGTGATGGAAGCACTTTGAGAGATTAATCACATACAGCCGAAACTGTGTGTACAAAAAACAATTGACTTCAATCTTCGCCTACCATGGACAATATGACCTATCTAAATTAGTATGTACTTTTGGTTTTTTATTTAACTGAGTAATTTTCATGAACTTTATTTTATTATTGTTAACCATGTTAGTTGTAAAGTGGTTGTAAAAAAAACTACGAAATGACGATATCATCTCGCGGCGAAATTTCTCTTCTTAATGCCTTATTTAAATTTATCAAAGGGACTAATTGTAGAGTAGACTAATAGTAGAGTAACTGTAGTTATAATTTACTTTTTGAAACAAACAATATGTGTATTGATTTTTTTTCTAATCTCTTTTCCTTTTCAATGCAGATTTAAAACGTGAAGCGAGTATTTGTCATCTGTTGAAACATCCACATATTGTTGAATTGCTAGAAACCTACAGTAGCGATGGAATGCTCTATATGATATTTGAATAGTAAGTGTGAAGAAAATTTCTTCTAAATTGTGCTTTTATTACTATTGTCATTTATTTACTTTATTTTCTGTATTTTTAATTGCTTGTAACATCGCCGCTCAAGAAGTAGGTATACACATTTTCTTCAACTCTTTACTGTTTGTAATTCTGTACAAAAATTGTTATTGTAATTCCATTGGGTTCCGAGTGGGTAACATCTTCATTTCACCCGGTTTTTAACAATAATTATATTAATAATATTAATTTGCTTTATTCCAAAACAGTACTTGTGATACGGGATGGAATTCTCAGCATTTTACTACATACAGTATTGCATCCAGTTTGTACATTAACAATGAATAAATTTCTACACAGATTTAGTGTAATCTCAATTAGTTTCGACAACAACATATTGGTATGTCGGTAGCAAAGCCGAAAATTGAACAGAGTGTTTGAAGGTGTTAGAAAAGTAGATGCTAGAATATTTACTGGCTTAAGCGGTAACAAAAACGTCGAGATATACAGAGCGTGAAAGAAAGAAGAATGTTTTAAATAGAGTTTGTAAGGAAGAAAGAAACAAAGCAGCACATAACAGAGAAAAAAGACAGAGAGAAAAGGAAAAGAAAGAAAGAAAACGTTGTACCTATAAATGATATGAGTTGGAAAGACAAGATCCAGTTGTTTTGCTGACTATTTAATAGGTTACAGGTATCACGCCTAATGCCTTCTTTATCGCACAGAACACGAGCTAAGTAGGGTATAGTTGAGTTTTTGTATTTCCTAGTGGTAGCATATATAGTTTTCTGTACAGGCTTCTGGTTCTGCTAGATGAGACACAAGGGAAGAGTTGTGAATGAAGAGTGTGGTGTGAGTTAGATAGATGGAATGGATTTTGCCCATTTTTCACACGAGTCCAAGTGCCTGTCGACGAGAATATTAACAAGTTGGTTAAGTGGCACTCTGTGGCTTACCCTGCTGACAACCTTTAACACCCTACGTAATAAGGCATAGTCTTTCTTCAGTAGCCCTGTAGTCGTCTTTAACTGACTACACGATTGCCCATAAACTGTTATTTACTCCTCACATATTTGTTCTTGATTGGTTCGTAACCAGAGTTTCTTGTTGCTGATTCTTTCTGGCCGGTCGACTGGTAGGCCATTTGATCCTGAATATATAGAGCCAGCGAAGAAGGCAGCTCTTGATAAAAGTCTGTAATAGCCTGTTAGAAATGCTTTCGTGACAGGCAGTGCAAGTTTCTGACCCGTATAGGAAGAACAACTGACTGACTGACTTCACATTTGTGTTGGAAACAATCCTAATCTTGTTCTTTATGCTGGCTGACTGAGTGCAATGCAGAAAATTTCCAAACTGGTTTCAGGTTGGCGAAGGTGTACCTTGTCTTTTCAATTCTGGTTTCATTATCCTCATCCGTGTTGAAACGATGACGTCTAGATAAGTGAGGGAAGTGACCTCTTTCAAATCTATTCCTTTTCTAGTGATTGGTACTGATTGTTGTTGGTGGTTGATTGGTTATCCTTATCACCTCTTTTTCCTCTATATTCACTTAAAGTCATGTCTTAGCTGCTTCTTCTGCTATTCCATTGGTTTTCACCCATAAGTCTTCGAGTTTGTGTGAGAAATTCAACCTCCCTACAGTTTTTTTTCTGTCGGCCCAACACACGCTTGTTTTCTCGCTTTCCACGGGATTTTCAAAATATATCTGTAAGATATTGCAGGCAGATCCTGTTGACGAGTCTTTGACAGAGCGAAATACTTTTCTTGGACCCAACGATTAGTTCGTACATAACGAAAAATAATTTCAAGTTCAAGTATTGGTTTGCAGGGATTTGATTGATTGGTTACAGGATTTCATTATGAGCTGACATTGGAAAACCCGGGAGTACTGGGGCGCTGTTTCTGTCGTCCTAGTTTGGGAATCTTCAGCGGTACGCACCCACCACAGGGGTTCGAACCCCGAACCTTCTGGTTACAAGGTGAGCGAGCCCGTAGACCATGAAGCCATTGAGACCGGATCTAATGGTCCATGAATTCTAACTTCTGCCGATTCACGAGGTAGCGCGACTGCTAACCAATATCATCCGTGGCGAGTGTTTGTTCGCACACCCGACCTGCTGCACCCTACTGGTCACGACTTCTCACTAGAACTCCAGGTAACTACCTTTCTGAATCGGGCCAGTCGCCAGTGAGCATCTCACCGATACTCAAGTATTGGTTTGTGGAGATTTGATTGATTGGTTACAGGATTTCATCATGACCTGACACCGGTTTTCATTTTCTGTTTGACCAGCTAATCAAACTGTCCTTCGGTATTTAGTGTTAAGAAGTTGTGATTTAAGATTATGTGGATATTTTGCTTTTATTAGAGAGAGATAAAATATTCGTGTTTCATATAATATATCTTGAATTGATATTACGTGTGTATCAGTGACGTTTCGGGACTCTGTGAAAACAGAAGCTTTTCAGATGATAACTCATTTATGCACGCTGATTGCTTGATGGACAGACATACTCTGTAGTGATCTTAGAATAGAGCCCAAATGGGAAGCAACGAGTTATACATGGTCCTGAGGATGACATTTAGGAAATTATGTGACAAAGAAATACAATCTTTGATGATATTAGATGAATGTTGGAGGCAATCAGCAAGAATCCAGGACGTGCATTTCGTCCTATTTGGGACTTGTCAGCCGGATATATCTGCATTTTGCAGTGAGTGATGATACTCCCACCGAGGCTCGAACACAGTGCCCACAGTTTCAAACGCCATAGCGTTGTACACTGGACCACTTGGGCCACGAGAGTCACCTCTTATGCAACGGATCATATTAATTATTTAATTCAATTTTAGATTTTCCCGTCGATTGATTGGACTGAAGTGCTTGGTCTCAGGTTGACATGCCAAAATGCGCATCCTGGAATCCACTGCTAGTCATCATCTACCAGTTCACTTCTGATTACATGCCTCGATATCATCGAAACATCTCCACAATAAACTGACATATCAACCTGAGACCAAGCACTTCGGTCCAATCAATCGACGGAAAAATGTAGAATTGAATTAAATCGGTAAGAAGCCTTGGACCTAGGTTTCGTGCTAGTTGGCATTCACCAGTCAGCAAGGCGTATCTGGAACCACCTTGAAGGAACTCAAGTCCCTCCTTCTGAGATTCTAGCCTGCGTCACCCGGCGCTTCAGTCAGAGACGTTACCACTGAGCAGCTATTCAGGCTCGTGATTGACCTCCTGTAGGACTGTAGTAGATACTTTGATTGGGTATTAGTAACTAGTATGATGTGTCCTAGCCCTTTCTTTGATGCAGACTGAATTTTATCAGAGCGAACTAGCACGAAGCCTAGGTGTAGCCAAGGCTTCTTGTCGATTGCCTCCAACCATCTAATATCGTCAAATCAATGTGCACCGTGATGGCAAGCTACCTACAATGGTGGCTACATCGCAAACCTGACTTATAGAATCCAGTCTGTACCAAAATAAGGACTAGTCACATCATATTAGTTACTAGTGTCCAATCAAAATGTGGTGAGAGCTGGCTGTCAGCCAAAATTGGTGGACAGTAATTTACGTCAATGTTTATGTCCTCGATATTGGTCGTGAGAAAAATAAGAAGAAAGGCTTTGCGCAGGTGGATACAGTTAGCATATGGATGATCTGACATTCAAGAAATAGCCACAAGGAGATGCAAGGTTAACTTTCTGTGAGAAACAACCAATCAAAAGACTGTCTTTCTGCTAACAATAATCTATAATAATGTACATGAAAATCTATAAATATGTATTGATTTCCTTAATAAACGACCTGTTGCCTGGCCCTTGTCTTCTGTTGTTACAAAAATATAATCTTGTTGGCATTCGTACAGTCAGATGAAGGTGATAGCAGGAAAACTTACTGGAATGTAGATGCGTAGCTAAAGCCCCCTATAAAATGTAATATAATATGTAATAATGACGTATCTAATATCAAATCATATAGATCTTCATCACTCTGAAGAAGCCGTTTGGAAGCCTTCCACATTCGGCATCAACAACAAGATTCAAATTTTCAACACCAGTGATAAGTCAGTCATTTTTTTAAATATTAGTCAGAAACTTAGCTCCCGGGTCATGAAAAGCATTTCCAACAGGCAAACTTTAATCAACAGATGTCTTCTCTTGAATGCGAAGATCGGATGTCCAGAAAGAAATAGTAACAAGAAACTCTGGGAACGAACCAATCAAGAACCTATTGCCCAACAAATATTCCGAAGAAAGTGGATATGCATTGGACACACACGCACACTGAGGAGAAGGTTAGATGACGTTACATGCACCAGAGAGACCCAAGATTGCAACCTGAATGGGGAGAGTTTAGTTGGACGTCGGTCTCGAGCTGATATGGAGAAGATTAGATAAAGGGGAAATGAAAGCTTCCAAACAGTCGTACAGTACAAAAGCAGAGGACCTGATGAAGGTGTAGATGTGCCTCTGAGATCCTGTGCTGCAGCCAAAACTCAAGGATTGTATTTAGCTTGCTGCAGATTGATAAGAAGCGGCGAAATTTGAAATCAATGGCTGCAGTTGTAGAAGTGTTTATTCCGCCTCAAATTTGGACTTGATTTATGTTGTGAACATAAAATAACCTCATTGAGCAACTTGTTCAACCTTAGGCCAGTCACCAGCCAATCAGAAGAATTTATTCTTCTCTCATCTAGCCGAACGTTAATGTCGCTAAGAATGTATAAATATGTCTTTTTCCTTAATAGAGGACCGTTTAGAAGTCTATCTTCTCTTGTTGTATGGATAATAATAATAATTATTATTATTACCATTACTATCACTAATATTATATTGATAGGGGAAGTACTCACACATTTAAGAATGTTGATTTCGCTTGCTCAGTGTATAACACTAACACTGACTAGTCTGAGGCTCTATCGACTGCTCTGTGAGAACCGTTGAAAACCAGTGCTGGAGTACTGGACAGCTATTTCATTCTAGTTTGCGAATCATCGGCAGTACACACCCACTAGGCAAGGTTCAAACCTAGGACCTTCCGGTTTCAAGGCAAGTGAGTTCGTATACCATTCAGCCACTGGGACCTGGTTTAATCGCCATCCCCTGAATTCTAACTTCTACCAATTCATGATTTAGTGAGACAACCAACCAATGTCATCGATGGGGACTCCATCCTCACACTTGACTAAATAGACCTCACTGGTCACAGGTATATGTATTCCTGGTTTTCAATGGTTCTATAAATGATATCAATCCGTATAAGACAAATCTAATCCTTGCAAACCAAACTCTTGAAAATTGATCTATGAGACACGACTGCTAATCAGGTCATCATTTCATCACTAAAATCACCACGGGTAATGCCCAGCTGTCGTGTGCTTAAATGATACAATTTGTTTTTCATTTATCGCTAAACTAACTGCCTAGGTACGTCTTTTCCTCTCAATCCTGATCATACTAAATTAGAATAATGAGCGGGTTGTTAATTAATGGTGATGAGACTATCTGAGAGGTAACTTTAAGTTCTCTGTCTGTCTGTCTAATGTCGACATAGAACTTTGCACCGATGTGCAGCAGCTTAAGTCGCCACACTCCCTCCTTGTAGCACACAAAGCAAGAGAAGAAAGTAGAAGAAACACATAAAAGGGACATTAAAAAAAGGTGTGAGACAAAGGAATAGTAATAACGAAGAACAATATAGTTTCATTGGAAATCATAAGTCACAAGGAGTGGATGCATCTGCGATAGCCATTGAGAACGATCACTTTGAGCCATATCACCAATTGTTTCCAGCTATAGGTTTTTACTGTCCTGAGGACCCCAACCAATCAGGAAATCTACACCTTCCCACATGGCTTAAACTAACTGTTGTAGATTTCATTGACTGGTGCCATGTTTTAGTTTGATCAACAGTGGATCTTTTCCAGCCTGACCCTATGTCAGCTAACATTGCCCATTGTCGAGGAAGGCGATGGCTAGGCTAGGCATGCATAACACATATCCTAAGCATCTCAATCAGTGCAGCTGCTTTACAACCTCGTCGATTGATTTCCCCTCATTACCTAGTACTCGACACCTAACCTCAAAATTTCTCACCCTATTATACCACTTCACATGGGAGGTAGAACGTAGACATCTATGATCAAAGACAGCTAGGCTTTTCATGTCTTCCACTCTCAATGGCCAGGTTTCGCTCATAGCCATAAAGGAGGACGGAGCGGACTGATGAGCAGTACACCCGCCCTTTGGTCGGTAGACTATTGTTGATATTTGGTGAGTGATGAATAAAGAAGGCGAAATGGAAATCTGGAACCAGTAGCCTTCAGTGTAATGACCTGGCTGTCTACTAGCTGCGAACGACATACACACGTACATGCGCTCCCTCGTTGGTCTTCATCTCTTCACAGGACTAATCATATGTGATATCTTAGGGATTCTAATTAATTTCATATAATTATCAAGTTCGAATTCATTGATTATTTAAAATTTGCTTATATTATTTTAAAAACTCTGTATAGTATGAAAGGTGCTGATCTTGCATTTGAAATTGTCAAGCGTGCAACAGCTGGTTTTGTGTATAGTGAAGCAGTGGCAAGGTAAGTAAAAAGCGTGTTTTGTAAACACAAAAAAATAAGATTTAATCAATGCTTTTTGAAAGTATTTCCAGGTGACTTACGCATCAGCTAGTCTGAAGTGGTTCAAACGCTCACTGGACAATTGGTCTGCTTGCATGGCATCAAGCTCATCAGTAGAGTACCTGGTTACTTTGATTGGGTACTAGATAGCAGCTAATATCTTGCCTTTAGTCCTCGGCGCTGGTGTAGACTAAAATTGACTATCAGTCAAGCTTGCAATGTGGCCTCGCATTCTAGGTGACTTGCCATGGATCACGGTGAATTGTTGTTATTAGATGGTTAGAGGCGATCGACAGGGGAAACCCTGTTCAACCTAGGTTTCGTGCTTGTTTAGTAGTTGTCAGCAAGGCTTATTCGCATTCTTTAGGGAACTCATATCCCTACGTACTGAGAATCAAACCCGCTCCACGCAATGCTGCAGTCAAAGACGCTACCAGTGAAGAGTTATTTGTTAAGGTATTTTATATAACTGGAAAAGACAAGAATCGTGGTAACGGAATGCTTGGTGTATACATATATGGAAGTTATGTATACGACATATTAAAATAGTCATTTGCATGGATCTTCCGTGCTATTCTCTGCTGTTTCTGCCCTTCGCGTATTGTGCTTCTTTGTTGTCTTCTTTTCGTGTCTCTCATTTTTTTGGCTCAACACTGGTTCATTTGACGTTCTTTTTGACGTCGAATCTATCTCTCTGCTATATGATATTCTTATATAGCACACGACACAACTTCACACACAGCTGGTGTTTTACCTATTCACCAATAGTAAAATTGTCAGCTTTCAAGGTCACCTAGCCTTTCTGTTATTGATTAATTCAAAAGATAAATCACAAGAGTATAGGACTTAGTTGACGTGTCATGGCTACTTCACTTCATCAATCTATCTGCATATTTCATATTAGTTTGTTTATTAGATGTATCATTGGATGTATTATATTAAATGTATTAGATAATGAAGAGAAAGCGGTGAGTTTTGACATCGTCAGTATATATACACGTATACCAATAAATATGGCTATAGAGGCAGTCAGAAACGAACTCATTTCTGACCAAGAACCCGAACTTAGGACAAAAGTGCCACTTTAGGACTTAATGCTGGGAGTACAGCTATGCCTGACTTCCACAGTATTTAAATTCCAAGGGAAAATATACAAACAAACTGAGTAAGTTGCCATGGGATCACCAATATCCCCGGTCGTAGCAGATATATTCATGAATAGGTGGGAAAACATAGCGATTGAAACGTTCACCCTCACCCCAAAAGTATGGTGGAGGTATGTAGATGACACATTCACTGTACTTAGAACACCAGATATAGATAGATTTTTCGAACACATCAACTCGAAGGTAGAGGCAATTCAATTCACTTATGAATTGGAAAATCAGGAAGGGGAGCTTCCAATGTTAAATCGCAACGTAAAAAGGAAAGAAGATGGGAAGTTAAACACTAGTGTTTACAGGAAACCCACGCATTCAAACAGATACTTGGACTTCCGATCATCCCACCCGGTCTGTATCAGTGAAAATAGGATTAGTGAAATGTTTAAGTGACAGAGCACAAAAACTATGTAGTACCAAAGAAAATCTAAGACAGGAAGTTATATACATAAAAGAAGCCTTGAAACTTAATAATTACCCGGATAAATTAGTCAGAAAGTATGTAAGGAAATGTAAAAAATAAAATAAATAATGGTAGTAGCGATAGTGATAATAATAATAGTGATAATAATATTAATGACGACGCCAACAATAAGGAATCTAAATCATCAGTAGTCATTTCATACAAGGAAGGAACCTCGGAAACCTTACTCAGAATTCTTAACAAGGCAGGAATAAGAGTGGCTGGCGTCCACACACCCACAAACTCAATTAGAAACAAGCCTTGTCGGTTAAAGGATCCTGTGGAGCCTTTAAAACAAAACAATTTAGTTTATCTAATACCCTGCCTACAATGACTGTTAGGTCAAATACATAAGTCAAACTGGTAGAACAGGGGCAGTCAGACTAGCCAAGCATAAAATCCTAGCAAAATCTAGATTAGTTAACCCGAATAAGATAAGAAACCTGGAGAATAGTTCAGCTATAGCACTCACCACATGCAGTTACACACAACCATACAATAGGATGGGGTAAGATGATAGGTTTAGAATCTAATGTAGCAGCAGGGTGGAGGGAGAGATTGATAACAGAAGTTTTTTTATCGAGTCAACTGAAAATGCGTGTAATAGGAATGATTCAACACCTCTCCAGTAGGATATCTGGAAAATTCTACTACCCCGATGACGACAAGTAGGAGAGGACAAAGAAAACTATAAAACAATGTTCAAAGTCGTGTGATTACAATTTATATGATTATGAACAGTAAATTGTGTGCAAAACGTCATCCAGTAAATAATACTGTTTCACTGACTGTGTGATACATCTAATAATTAAACCAATGTAGAGTTACTTACTACCACAGTGCCCAAGTTTTACACATATATCTGCACATTTCATTTATTATCTGGCATGCCTTGGTGTTTCATCCTTATTCATTGATGCACCAGTTGTGGACACATACGATTAAATCTGTGAACAGATATTCCTATTACTAATCCGAAGGAACTACTGCTCAAGTGTAAAACGAATGTTCAGTTCGAGTTCAGTGGGTGAAATATACAGATTGACTGATGGAATGAATGGCCATGGGAGATCTCCACTAGGCCCTATATATATATGACTTGATTTCATTTGATATTCACAAAGTAGATGGTTCCGTTATTCTACGTTTAATTTTTTGATAATCAAATCTGGCAATGTTCAGTGACCTTGTTCCCTCACAACTTATTTTTGCATATATAGTGAAAGTGTAATTGAGTATTTGTTAAATACATGACATATATATATATTCTCAAATCCAGTACCAAGCTGAAAATAAGGCTAAAGTACATTCGATATGAAGCCTTTGAATTACTTTGGCTCACTGCTTACCGGGATTGTTCATCATAGCTCATCTCAACTGTATTTTTTGATTGCGCACTAGTCAGTAACTAGTGCAGTGTGTATGTCTGGTCCTATCTTCGGTTCAGACTAAATTCTATCAGTCAAGCTTGCAATGTGGCCACCATGTTAGGTGGCTCACCATTAAGGTGCACTGCCGATTGCCTCCAACCATCTAATACCAACATCTCACAGTGCACCGTAATGGCGAGCCACCTAGCATGGTGGTCACATTGCAAGCTTGACTGATAGAATGCAGTCTGCACCGAAGATAGGACGATACACGTTACACTAGTTACTGACTAGTGTCAGAAGTATCCAGTAAAGTCCTACAGGAGGTCAACCGCGAGCCAGCATGAATAGCTCAGTGGTAACGTCTCTGACTGCAGCACTGGCTGGTGACGCGGGTTGGAATCTCAGACGGGACATGAGTTCCTTCAAGGTTGTAGATACGCCTTGCTGATGAGTGCTAACTAGCGTGAAACCTAGGTCCAAGGCTTCCTGCCTATTGCCTTCAACCAATCTAATACCAACCATCTCAACTGTGATAGATGCAACTGATATCTTCTCAGAGATTCGAACTTGCTGTCACCTGAGTGCTGAAGTCGAAAACGTTACTACTGAGCTTTTCGATTATCTTTACATATTCCCTTTGTTAATATTAGAACAAGACGTATAAGCAAATAATACTGTTGTAAGTTAGATCTTCTTCAGGCTTTACTCTTATTTACATAGATTTATATATAAAAAGTAATTTTACCAATACAAGGTGAGTTGGTGGATCAGATAGTAATAATAATAATAAGCGTTAAGCGCTTTGAACGTCAGTAATAACGATAATTAAACTGATAACCAAATAATGATGATAAGGTTTATGCACATGACGATAATAACAACGAAGGTAGTAATATTATGGTAAGAACCGGTCTGCAAGCCGAAATTGTAGACAACAATTTACGTCTCGGATTGGGATCATGAGAAAAACAATAACAAAGCTTAACCTAGAGGAACTCACCAACCAATCCCAGCAGACTTAACGTGTGCAAATACAAATTGCAGATATATGGCTTAACTTTCTGCGAAACGGTCACAAGCAGTACAGAATAACCTTCAGCCGGAAAACAATAAAATCAGAAGATGTTACCTCTTTGCAAACAACGCTAATATTAATGTACATAAGAATCTATAACTTTCTGAATTATTCTCTAGATTTCTTATCCTATTCGGGTCAACATATGCGTCGGTGGCACAGTGGTTAGGACTCTCGCCCACGATGCACATGGTCCGGGATTCGATCCCCTGCCAACGCACACCTGATATCTATGGTCGGCCTGCACAGAATTTGGGCTACCGATATCCATGCTGAAAATTCCATACTTGTACCAAAAATACAGTGTGGAATCAAGCTGTAAAACAAAAATAAAAAAAGTAAATAAAATAGGATTGTTCTCTCAAATTCCTATAAGTTCGGCTATGTTTTTAGCAGGCAAGTTCGAATTCCGTTCGAAAGGTTCGGTGGAATACGATAGATAAATTCTGTCCATTATTATTATTATTCTGTCCATTTGGTGACCACTGTCATCAATCAAATGAGACGAAATAGAACTTCTTATAGATTTTATTTGACCTTTACCGAACCATGAAGTAAGATGCTCATTAATACGTTTGTTGAGCTGCATAATTGTTCGCCCTATATAGCCAGCTTTCTCCACAGGAGCAGCTTAATCTGTAGATACACATAAAAGTGGCACAGCTAGGCAGCTTGTCTGAAGATCTAATTGAAAACAATATTTTTCAGTTATCAACTAACGTTTTGTAAGACATTAATGATTAAAATGACTCATCTCATGTGTCTATTCTTTAATTATGACTGAATTCTATCAGTGAATGAAACATTGTGGACATCAGGCTAGGTGACTCACCGTCATGGAGCACTTTTTAAGTGATGTTAGCTGGTTGAAAGCAATCTAAAACATAATATCAATCCGAAAAGTCTTTAACTGTTGGTTCGAACCGACGTAGGGAGATGTGGACTACCATGATTAGGATCCTTTAGACACTAACAACTATTATTTGGCGATTGGCGGTGACATAACTCAAAATCATTTGCATAGACACGTGGATGTATTCACGCCCATGTCATTTTCATGACTTACTATGAAATCCTTATTATTCTCCATATAGTTAGCTTTTCTTCCACACACACACACACACACATATTTCCGTTTTGTAATAGTTCATTTGAATTTTTGTATTATTTGTGAAGTGAGGGAATTTGAACTGCTGTAATTTTTTGAAAAGTTCTACGTTGAATATTCATTCCTCGGCGAAGTTCAACAATAGCGTCCTGGCAGTGCGAGTGGTACTATTGTGGTGAGAGCAGGCTGCTAGCCGATTGGTTGGCACTAATCTACGTTAAGGTCTAGGTCACTAATATGGGCCGTGAGAAAATATGAACAAGCCTGAGTCAACAACCAATCACAGCAAAGTTAACGTGGCAGAATATGATTCGCAGAGAGAACTCTATTTGTCAAGGAATCCCGAAACAACCAATCAGAAGCCTGCGTTTGTCTGCCTAACTTCTGATAAACAACCAATCAGATGACTGCGCTTGTCTATAATAATGTAGTTGAAAGATGTATAAATACGTGTTGATTTTCATAATAAAACGATCTGTTGCCTGGCCCTTGTCTTCTGTTGTTACATTTGGTGTCGCTGCCTACCGACAAATGAAAAGCCTATACCCTGCAGTTTTTGATGGAGACATATGGATCTTCGGGCAGGACTTCAAGGCTTCTGCGCAGTTGAGTGGCGTTCAAGATCTGTCAGCGATGGAGCTGCTACTTGAGACGCTGCTGGGAGGTCGGGCGAAAGCAGCATAAGAAGGTGTGGGCCGAAGTATGGACGAATGTTCGACAGGGTCAGGCAAACAGTTTCCAAAGTGGGAAGGACCATATATGGTCACTTCGAGATGGGGTTACGCAGACACAGTCGCAATGGCGAACAATGAGAGGCGCGTGAACGTCAGCGAGCTCCAGAAATGGATACAGCGAGACAAGCCAACGATGACGCCTGCACCAAGTAGATCAAGCCGACTTCAGTCGCACGTATTTGACGGGGGGACGAGTGTGGTGAGAGCAGGCTGCTAGCCGATTGGTTGGCACTAATCTACGTTAAGGTCTAGGTCACTAATATGGGCCGTGAGAAAATATGAACAAGCCTGAGTCAACAACCAATCACAGCAAAGTTAACGTGGCAGAATATGATTCGCAGAGAGAACTCTATTTGTCAAGGAATCCCGAAACAACCAATCAGAAGCCTGCGTTTGTCTACCTAAACAACCAATCAGATGACTGCGCTTGTCTATAATAATGTAGTTGAAAGATGTATAAATACGTGTTGATTTTCATAATAAAACGATCTGTTGCCTGGCCCTTGTCTTCTGTTGTTACACTATGACCTAGAACGCATGTCAGTCGTCGTTGGCTAACAGCACCTGTCATAATCATAGCTGAAATATTACCAGCTAAGCAGAAAAATTCATCCAGATCATGTTTTTAAGTACTGTTTCGATAATGTTTTAATGGCTCGTTAGGGTTCGGATTAGGGTTAGAATTACGGCTAGGATAAGGGTTGTAATTAGGGTTAGGATTATAAGGTTAAAGTTAGTGTTAAGTTTAGGGTTGGAGTCAAGATTAAGGTTAGGGTTACGATTAGGGATAGATTTAGATTTTGTTTTGTTTTATTATCCACATTTTCCTGGTAACTAGTCGTCGGTCCTCTTTTAATAGAAACCACAGTGATTCAACGGAAGGTGGGTGCGTACTGATGAAGAGTCCCAAGCTAGGACGAAACAGCTGTCCAGTACTCCCAGGTTTTCCAGTTGTTCTCTAACTGATGTCAGCCCATGATTAAATCCTCCATGCAATCAGATAAACAGTTCACAAAAGCAGCTCATCTTTAGTCACCTCGGCGAATACATGCACAGAAACTAGTCTAACTTAGCAACTGATACTCCTCATTATTACTGGGACGTACTTTTAAGTCATGTCAGAGAAAGATACCCTATTTAATGTGTTTTAATGCATTTTCTTGTAAATATACGTCATTTTTTGTGTAAAAGTCACTTATTTTTATGATTGTTCGGCTGAAAGTCACTCGTGCGTTTGCATACCTTGGGACGCTATTGTTGAACTTCTCCCATTCCGCTTCATTTGCTGTTCTTCACATTTTTTTGTCTTTTGTATGTCGAGCATAAAGTGTGATTGTTGAGTAATGACCACAGTTTTTCATTTCATTTGAACAGATAATTATTCTAAGAAAGTGAACTGTAGTAGCATTGCGTGACCTAAGGATTTCAGATATTCTATTAAATAAACTAGTGTGATTGACCTGCTGTACTGTCCTCTTGATAACCATACTGAATAGCCACAAACATGAACGCATACTTCAAATAAAAAACAATACCTACTCCCCTCTTTTTTCAGTATCTCATAATAAATCTGTGATTTCTAATCGAGCATTATTCATTAATCAGATATGATAGAGAAGATTTGTAGCTCAGGTGGATAATTTTGATGTGGTTTTGTTCTCTGAGCTGGATAGTTAGTTTCCGCAAACTAACTATCCAGCTCAGAGAACAAAACCACATCAAAATTATTCATTAATCATTTAGAAAATCAAATTTTTATTAGTATGTCATGCGATTGAACAACTCTTTTGGGTTAGATTTCACTATGAATCGACTTGAGTTAGCAGATCGTTAAAAAACCAGGGAATAATAGGGAAAGCTGTTTTCTCCTAGCCTGAGACTCTTCAGCAGCATGTTTCCATGATTCTGTTGAAGATTGAGATCAAGATCTCCAGGTTATCAGGCAAGCTCGTTGATCATTCAGTCACTGGGACGAATTCCGAAATATACAGTACGAATTTCATATAATCAAGTTGATGCATATCCAGTTGATTAACCGTTTATGCTATTCACGCATTATCTTTAATCTTGTTTGATTCACTCATGTGATGAATTGATTTATATTATGTTATTTGGATGTTATTAGCTAGCATTGGGAATGTAGGATTCATGTTTCTTCCCGTTGGAGACTTGTCAGTTGAATGTATCAGAATCCTCATTAAGTGATGGTGTTGCCAAATAATATAATATTACCCTACATATTTAGGTGGCATAGCGGTTAGGACTCTCACCGATCATGCACATGGTCCGGGGTTTGATTCCCGGCCAACGCAATCCTTTACTTCACTAAGCCAGAAATAATGCTGGTAAAGAGGAAAGGTTGGGCATGAGGCTAGCAACCTCATCCTGTAAAATAAACATTGCTACCGAAACTTCAAAGCTCTAGCTTAAAGGCGCTGTATGTTCCACTGAGGAACGTGAAGGAAAAAAAAACAACAAAAAACAACCCTACGTGTATCATCAAAGTATCCTTACTGGGAGTTGGCATGCTGTACAAGGATTGAACATTTTTGGTTCAGTAAAAATCAATCAAAAGAAAATAATCAATAAACTCATATTATTTTAATTGTGCAGTTATCCATGGACTAGAGAATTTCACTCCCGACAGATAGCTGCTACGTTAACGTGGTTGTTGAGTTTGTCTATCGCAATCACCAGACGAGCTATTAATACTGTCTGGAACTAATGTCCCCTCAGGTCCTACCTACCATGTCATCTAGGTCGTTTGGATATCGATTCGACTAAAAGTCTTTACCACCATAGCGTAAGTCGCTTACATCATGTTATGATGATCTGTGGTCGAAGTTGCACCACTGGCGAATACAGATGTCTTCCTTAGATGACCTTTAAGGCAGGTGCGCTATCTCTCTAGTGTTTGTAGAAGGGGTTATAAATGTGTGCTCTCGAACCGTATACATCCCTGCTTACCTTGTCGTGATTCGTAGCGGTTAGACGCAATGGTATAAGCCGCTTCAAACAGGCCTTGAAGATGTATCCTCTGGGCTCTGCAATTGCACAGCACTAATGATCATTCGATTTCAGGTATTCCAAGAAGAAAGCAACTTCCACAGTGTGGGAAGCCTAGAAATAGTAACCGCTCCCCCCTACAAACTCACACACACTTCTGTGGGCATACAAATATTTCCAGGCAATTTTTACCAAATAATTCGTTATTTTATTCCCTCATACCAAATGTTTGCTCTTAATTTTCTTTTCTGTACTTTTCAACCCTTTTTTTACCCGATTCCATGCGTGTTATTTAGTCATTATTTAAGACAAATTCTCGAAGCGATACGTTATTGTCATGAGAATAATATTATACACCGGGATTTAAAACCACACTGTATTGTATTGGCGAGTAAAGAGAATTCAGCACCAGTTAAACTTGGCGGTTTCGGATTAGCTACTCACCTCAACTTGGATACAAATCAAGTTAGTGGAGGTAAGTGATAGGTCGATTTTGTTTTATATCATTATTTTTGTGTAGACAACTGCTTATAGTTGTAACAGTAAGAAGACGGTAGTATTTAGTAGCGAAATTGTTTTAACTGACCGATTGATGTACAGATATGGCAAAGAAGGGTGAATCAGGTCTCTGGTAGAACTGGAAACTACTTCAAAACTATGGCCTACCTCAAGTCTTTACTAACCCCATTCAACAGCTAGCTATATGACGATGCCACGTGTCAAGTGATCCACGTTGAAAAAAATCAAAGAGGCATTCGAAGTGCATACAGAAGTAAAACAAGACTGGCTTCCTATTATCACCGATGATGTTCTGAATTTTGGTAGACTGGATCATGCATCAGGCTGTGGGGAGTGAGAAGACAGGTGTATACGCTGAACCGCCGATCAGAAGAGACCATCTCGAATATCTGAATTTCGCAGATGATTATATGTCTAGTGTCACCTAAGCTCGAATACGCTTAGGCGGAAACCAACCAACTGACTGACGATGCAGGCAGCGAAGACAGAACAGATTTCCGGTGAACATAGAGTGTAACAACAGAAGACAAGGGCCAGGTAACAGATCGTTTTATTATGAAAATCAACACGTATTTATACATATTTCACATACATTATTATAGCTTATGCAAGTAGACAAGCGCAGTCATCTGATTGGTTGTTTATCAGAAGTTAGGCAGACAAACGCAGGCTTCTGATTGGTTGTTTCGGGATTCCTTGACAAATAGAGTTCTCTATCTGCGAATCATATTTTGCCACGTTAACTTTGCTGTGATTGGTTATTAAATCAGCCTTGCTCATATTTTCTCACGGCCTGCTCTCACCACAAGAGAAGACGGAGGTGATGAAGATAACCAACGAATTGTAACAACAATAAGCAGTACCCAACAATATCAATAGGAGAGATTTGATGAAGGTTACCTCCTTCACTTATCCTAGTAAGCATTGTCTCAATCACAGACAGGCGGAACTGATGAAAATGTCAAAGCAAACCAGCTAGAATTGGAAAGACAAGAAACGCCTTCATCAACACCTAAAACTTCTTGGGAAATCTTCTGCATTAACTCAGCATAAGGAAAGAAATTCGAATTTTCAACACCAATGTTAGGTCGATCCTTCTATATCGGTGAGAAACTTGCACTGCGTATAACGAAAAGGATATTCAACACGTTGCAGACTTTTATCAACAGCTGCCCTCTTGGCTGACTTCACATTGAAGATCAAATGGCCAGCCGGCTATAAGGAATTAGCAACAAGAAACTATGGAAACAAACCAACAGGCGAAAGTCGATCGCTCAACAAATATGTAGGAGAAAATGGAGATGGATTGATCGGGCATACATTGAGCAGCAGACCATCGAATGACATCGCGCTCAATGCAGGCCGTCGCTCGAGTGGAATCCCAATAGGAAGCGATGAGTAGGTCGTTGTTTCGAGGGTGACATGAAGGTGATCGTGTGGTGGTTAACGAGATAAGGGATTACGGTCAGTCGTGGAGCTATCCAGTTGAAGAAGATGCCAGAACATATAAGAAAGTGGAGATGGGTTGTTGGAGCCTTATGTTCCACTTGGAACCCAAGGGAATAATAATGATAATAATAAGAGCTGACGCTGAATAATGCTCATGTCCATGTCAAGCTATAAAAGATTCACTGGATGCAGAACTCCATCACCCACCGAAAAAGCAAATCGTATGCGGATTGAATAGCAACTCTACACATCATCCATCACCAACGAACAAAGCATAGAATAGCAGTTAAATCTCTACCTCAAATTCGTCAACTTCGAAAAAAGGCTTCAACAGTGTCGACCACGGAGTAATTTGAAACCTACTTCAATACTATGGGGTGTGGTGTCCCAATTCTTTATCAACCTCATTCAACAGCTGGCTATATGACAATGCCACTTGTCAGATGATTCGATTGGCGATGAAATATCAGCACGGATCCAAAAAGCTCGAGCTGCTTTCGTCAACCTACACCATCTCTGGCGTAGACGTGACATCCAGCTATCAACCAAGGGACGTTTGTACTACTCAGCAGTTCGCTCCGTCCTTCTCTATGGCTCTTAAACATGGCCAATAAGAGTTGAAGACATGAAAAGGTTGACTGTTTTTGATCATAGATGTCTGCGATCTCTTTCTTACGTCAGGTGGTATAATAAGGTAACTAGTGTTGACGTTAGGCGTAGAGTGTTGGTCAAAGAGCGACAATCAATCGACGAGGCTATAAAGTTACATAGATTGAAATGGCTAGGTCACGTGCTGCGCATACCTAACCACCGCCTCCCCAGATGGGCATTACTAGGTCGGAAAAGAGTAAGTGGTGGCCAAACAAAAACATGGCCTCATCAATCCATGAAATCCTTGACAGTTAAACTGAGTCAGGGAGGGAGATACAGACTTCCAGGTTGGGGCCCTCGGGACTCTAAGAATCAATGGCTGGGGACAATAGGTGACATGGCTCAAAATCGTTGTCAATGGCCAGCGCAGATGTATTCAGTCTCTGTAATTTTTCATATTCCTTTCTACCATTACCCATTCTGTTTCACTCTTATACTTGTCAAACTGTATTGATTCTCTCCACTCATCTTCTTGTCTACCTTTGTGTGTTATTAGGAACGTGGCAACTCGAACTGCTGCACTTCGGTGCCAAGTTCTATGTTGAATCCACACAGACAGACAGACAGGTGATCCGCAACGGAACACTCAGAGAGGCGTTTGAAGTGAATACAGGAGCACGAAAAGGCTACCCATTATCACCAACGACATTCCTAATTATTGTCGACTGGATTATGTGGAAGACTGTGGAGAGTTGGAAGACGAGAATACTTAAGGTCGACAAGACTCTCGAGGATATGGGCTTCGTGGATTGTTTATGTCTAGTGTTACACATAAAGAACATAAAGAAGACAGAGGTGATTAGGATAACCAGCAGCAGCAACAACGGGCACCAATCACTATCAACGAAAAAAAATTTCAAAGAGGTTACCTCCTTCACTTATATCTGTACAGCATTAATTTTTAATTACAGGCACCCTTACGCAGATAAGAATGTCAAAGCCAGCCAAAATTAGCAAGATAAGAGAGTTATTCACTATTCTGAAGTCAGTCTGAAAATCTTCTGCACTCAGCAGACACAACAAAATTTTGGTATTTCCGACACTAATGTTAATTCTGTTCTTTGTGGGTCCATAAACTTGGCTCTAAAGTGACATAAAGCACTTCCAACACCCACCTGTAGACTGTCTGTCAACACCTGCCTTCATTCTGTATTGAAGATCAAATGGTTTGAAGAAAATTAGTAACAAGAAACTATGAGAACAAACCAACCGGCGAGTGGCTATTGCTCAAAAAATATGTAGGAGAAAATGGAGATGGATTGGGCACACACATTGAGAAGACCATCGAATAACACTTCCCCTCAGGCCATCACGTGAGTGGAACTCAAATAGGCAACGACAGGATGGGCGTTAGTCCAAGGGTGACATGGAGGAGATGATGAGGGGAATAGATGAGAGATTATTGACAATCGTTGGGCCAGCTAATGAGGGCAAAAGAGAATGTGGCGAAGAGGAGATTTTTTGAAGCCTTGTGCTCCACCGGCAATCCAAGGGAATAATAATACAATAAATAATAAAAATACACAGATTAAATAAATAAACAAGATGATAAATAAATAAATAACTAAATGTTCATCCTTCATTTTTATTCTACGACCGAAGTAGAAATAGGGATTATGCATACCCCTCTACTGTATACAAAGACTTGGCTTTAGTTGGTGAATAGATAAAATTAGTTATGAAAATAGTAAAAATAATATAAATAATATAAAATTCAAAGCCTCTGTAGTACTACTGTACAAAGAAGGAGTATCGAAGGCCTTACGTAGAATTCTCAATGAAGCTGAAATTAGGCTGGCATTTAAACCAACTATGTAAACAAACTCTCTCGGAGATAAACTTCGTCGGCTTAAGGACCCATTAGACGCAATCAAGAGAAATAGTATAAATACCATGTTATACCTCCATTGTCAATTACACAAGTCAAAGCAGTAGATCGGTGTCATTTAGATTATTCAAACATAAAACTTTGTCTAGATCTAGACTGATACACCGTGCTAAGTTAAACAATGTAGAATAAAGCTCAGCCATTGTATTGCATTGTATTGTAGTGCGTTGGTGGCATAGCGGTTAGGACGCTCGCCAACCGTACTACATGCTCCGGGGTTTGATCCCCGGCCACAGACGCACTTCCTTACCTCACTAAGCCAGAAATAATACTGGTAAAGAGGAAAGGTTGGGCATGAGGCTAGCAACCCTATCCTGTAAAAATAAACATTGATACAGAAACTTCAAACCACTAGGTTGAAGCCCTGTGTTCCACTGGGGAACGTGAAGGAAAAATTAATTAATTATTGTATTGCATTCACTTGCGTGTAATCACACAGTGAGGGTTTGCGACAGAGTGGGAGTATTGAAAATTAGTATAGGACAGGTGAAGAGATAGAAGTTAATCCCTGGGTTCTTGTTTTTGTCAATTCAACACCATTGCACACGTGCAATTAGAGTGACGCAACGCCCATGCGGGAGATATGGATATGGTGATAATAAATCCTAAATGGAAAAGAGAGAAAAAGTTCATATAAAGCAACCTATAAATTGATTGTGCTTATGAGCAACAATAAATTGTGCTCGAAATGTCTTCCAGTTGTTAATACTGAATCATCACTGTGTTATCATAACTCCGGTGTCTCCTCATTTGCGGATAAATCTTTCGCCTTTTAATAAAGATTTCCGTGGGGAGGCACAATACAATGAGTCTTGTCTCATTTTTTTCACCTCTGTCTTCGGACGGAGTATTTTGCGTCGGTGGCATAGTGGTTAGGACTCTCACCGACCATGCACATGGTCCGGGGTTCGAGCCCACGCCGGCGCACACCTGATATCTATGGTCGGCCTGCAAAATTTGGGCTACCGATATCCATGCTGAAAATTCCATACTTGTACCAAAAATACAGTGTGGAATCAAGCTGTAAATCGAAAATCAAAAATCAAAATAAATAAAATAAACGTATTTAATGTCGGATTACTGTTCATTTCTTCCTTGTGAAACCATTTTTTTAAAATGTACTCTCCTATCCGTATCGGAAGCATTATTCTGGATACTGGTGAGGCACCATGGTTTAGAAAAAGCAGACTAACTGATAGATGCCTAAAAGTCGCGGCAGAATGAGGGAGCTTATATTTTACCCAAACGAAGATTAACTCTCCATCGATGAAGGTTTTCTGGGGTTTAGCTATAAAGAACGTCTTATTGATCGATTCAGAAAGACGATTTCTGAGAAAATCTGAAGTTTTAAAATTATTTTATTTTATTCTTTTACCATCTGTGTCGTTCATAGGAGGGAGGGAGCTTCAAGCTAGAGCTTTGAAGTTTCAGTAGCAGTGGTATTTATTTTTACAGGATGGAGTTGCTAGCCTCATGACTAACCTTCCCTATTTACCAATATTATCACTAGCTTATTGAGGTTTAGAAGTGCATCGGTGGCCAGGAATCAAATCTTGGACCACATGGAGTGTGGTCGGCGAGCGTTCTACCGCCAACCTACTGACACACCAACTGAATTATGATCACCTTTGAATTCCCAGAATATTCATCAACCTTATTCAACAGCTCTGTACGACAAGGGCGGCACATGTCAATTGATCCACAACGGAAAACTCGGCGAGGCGTTTGGAGTAAACACAGGAGTCAGAAAAGGGTACCTGCCTATTAACACAAATGATATTTCTAATTGTGGTCGACTGGATTATGCGTCAGACAGTGGGAAACCAGAAGACGGGGATATTCTGGACCGACGCGAAGAACATAGAAGACCGGGATTTCGCGCGTGGATGATTTATATCCGGTATCACAAAAATTCGAAGACTTACAAGCGAAAACCGACAAACTGGTCGAAGAAGCAGCAAAGACAGGGCTCCAGATGAACATAGACAAGAAGGAACCTATGAAAATAACCAGGCAACAACAACAACAAAAGCAGCAACATCTAGCGCCAGTCACCATCAACGGGAGGCATTTGAAAGATGTGACTTCATTCACTTATCTAGGGAGCATTGTCTCAACTACAGGTAGTCGGAACGGACGAGGATGTCAAATCGAACGAGAATCAACCTGAAACGAATCTGGAAATCTTCTTCATTTCTCATCATGAACAACAAAATTCAGTCGGAGTTTCAACACAAACGTCAAGTCAGTTAGCTCTTCTATACGGAACGGATCAGAAACTTGGCAGGCGGGTCACAAAGAATATTTCCAACAGGCTATTGCAGACCTTTATCAACCAACAACTGTCTTCGCTGGCTCTATATTGAAGATCAGATGGCCGGGCCGAAAAGAATCACCAACTATGGGAACAAACCAACATGCAAATAGCAAATAGCCAAGAGATATGCAGCAGAAAGTGGAGATGAATGTAGATGGACACTCGCTGAGGAGGCCGCTGGGTGACATCGCGCGCGCGTCAGGCCAATGCTCGAGTGGAACCAGGCCGAAAGGGAAGCAAGCGGTGAGTGGGACGTCAGTGCAAGGGTGACATGGAGGAGATCGTGTGAAGAGGAGTTGAAACAGTATGGACTAACATGGATGCAGGTGAAAAGTGCAGCAGGAGACAGAAGTGGCAAGTGGAGACGTGCAGTTGAAGCCCTATGTTTCACTAGGAACCCAAGGGAACCATAATAACGATAATAATAATAATAATTGAATTTTCTATAGTTAGGTTTGTAAGGATTAGTTATGTTTTACGGGTTGATCACGGATTGATATCAGTTAGAGAACCATTGAAAACCAGGGAGTACTGGACAGCTGCTGTTTCATCCTAGTTTGGGAATCATCGGCAGTACGCACCCACTGGGATTCGAACCCGGGACCTTCCGGTTACAAGGCAAGCTCGTATACCATTCGGCCACTGGGACCCGATTCAATGGCTCGTGAATTCTAACTTCTACTAATTCGTGATTTAGCGCGACCCCAACCATTGTCGTTGGTGGGACATCCATCCACAAACGTGACATCTAATTGGACCTCACTGGTCATGACTTCTCACTAGAACTCAGAAAACTCCAACCTGTAGCAAGTCACTAGCGAGCATCAGATCAACTTTCTATAGTTTGGTTTGTAAGGATTGTAAGGACTGATATCAATCCGTGATCAACCCGTTAAACATAACTAATCCTTACAAACCAAACTATAGAAAGTTGATCTGATGCTCGCTAGTGACTTGCTACAGGTTGGAGTTTTCTGAGTTCTAGTGAGAAGTCGTGACCAGTGAGGTCCAATTAGATGTCACGTTTGTGGATGGATGTCCCACCAACGACAATGGTTGGGGTCGCGCTAAATCACGAATTGGTAGAAGTTAGAATTCACGAGCCATTGAATCGGGTCCCAGTGGCCGAATGGTATACGAGCTTGCCTTGTAACCGGAAGGTCCCGGGTTCGAATCCCAGTGGGTGCGTACTGCCGATGATTCCCAAACTAGGATGAAACAGCAGCTGTCCAGTACTCCCTGGTTTTCAATGGTTCTCTAACTGATATCAATCCGTGATCAACCAATAATTGAATTCCGGATTCTTGAAAATATTTTTCTGTGGAACTGATTTAGTGACCAATTTAGCATGTTTATCTTTTATGTGGTAGTCTCGTGTATTATTTTTAATCCGCTTTTAATTTCATTTATTGCTGTAGATTCACCGATCACCGTTGATCAGGAAATATTTGTTTCTTTACGTCCAGATCAGTGTGGTAAGTAAAGTGATTAGTTTATTCATCAGTTTTTTTTATCCTGCCTCTGAAAATTTTATTATTTGTTTTTGAAAGATATTCAAAAATCAAATTCTAACAGTTTCAACTCTTGAAAATTAATCTGATGCTCGGCAGTGACTTGGTACGGAACATTGTTTCTTGGAGTTTTAGTCAGTTTCTGTTAATTTCAGCTTAAGATATAAAAGACTGTTTAAAGAAGTCATCGATTCTCATGACAGTTGTAAGATTGACGACAATTATATAGGAATCAAATCAGAGATTAAGTATCGTGAACTTATTCTCTCTTCTGATCTCTCCTGGACTTCCCATGTCTTAGCAATCTCCAGTAAAATATTCCGCCTGACATTTTACATTAAGAAATTAAGGTGCTTGGGTATAACTCAACCCCTCCTCCTCTTACAGTTAGTTCATAAACTCTTGCGTCCTACCTATTCTTCTTTATTGTTCACCCTTATTCTTTCCTGGTTTGCTTAAAAAGGACTATGTCACAATTCGTAGAATGCTGAAGACTGTCAGTAGGGTGAGTGGTGCCCCAGTGGACCACATAGTTAATGTCGTTGTCGATAGGCACTTGACTTCGTGCAATAAATTTGCTAAAGGGATTTTGTCTGACTTGGAGCATTCACTTTACCCTCCCTCAGCTTTTACCTTGCATCTCCTCAGGTAGAACAACAAGTAACTTCAGAAAACTGTATGCTCGAACGTCTAAGAATAAAAATTCTATGATACCGTACTTGGCACGTATTTTATGTGATGAAAATAGTGTCAGGCAAGAATTAACTAACCTTTTTTCATCTAGTAAATAAAGAATTTCCTCCATCCATCCTTATATACCTCCTTCAAGTTTTGCTTTTATTATTTCTATTATATTTATGGTCCTGTTGCTTCTTTGTTTGTTTTACTCTCATAATTGCAACCGCCAACTTATCTCTATGACTGCTGTAATCTTTGGTTTTCCCCTCACCGTATCATGTAAAGAGAACATTATATTCAATATTTTTGAACTTGCTAGACCTCTATACCGCTTCGACAATACTGTGTGAAACAAGCTCACGACAATTTTCACTTGTATCATTATTATTATTACTTTAGCTGTTATCATTATTATTATTGTTTCCATTTTATATGCTGCATGTTTCTGACATTACCCCTATTGTAAATGGGGAAGATTTTCTTTGTGATTAATTTTATTTATAATTTGAGGATATTAGATAGAATATTGTCTGTGGTTAATGCTGAAAATTCCATTGTGTATCACAAGTACTGTTTTCGGAATAAAGTAAATCAGTATTATTATTATTATTATTAAAAAGTTGTGACAAGTAGTGAGTTACATCCAGTCCAGAGTGAGGGTGGATTTCCCACCTATGACTTTGTCAGGTGTTCACGCTTAATTAACGAATTGGTAGAAGTTAGTATTGATGGATTGATCATTGAATTGGGTCCTAGTGGATGAATGTTATACGATCTTACTTACCCTGCAGCTGGAAGGTCCTGGGTTCGAACCCAGGCGATTGGTGTGTACTGGTGCAGGCCCCCAAACTAGGATGAAACAACTGTCCAGTACTCCTTGGTGGTTTTACAGTGGTTCTCTAACTGATATCAATGAGTGGTCTAACTCGAAAATTTCAGAATAATAAATGAAACTGTCATAATTCATACGTTAAAACTTGCGCTGGTGTAAACGATTTGTAGTTATGGGACACGCACGCACACACCCACACACAAATACAAACCGTCTCATACTAATCTATTACAGTTATTATATCGACTACTTATTAATGAAATTACCCAGAAATTATTATTGATCTTTTATTGATTTGGTTTTTTAAAATTAATTTTGTAAATGTCATTCTTTTGATATACTCCTGCGACTAGTAAGTAATTCAACCAACACTTATATTTTCATATTGTCGGCAATGTTATGCATTATTTTTGTGAAGGTCAGTGATACTGTCTGACTGCTTGAATCTCAGTAGGTGGGCGGGAAGGGTGGGAGATTCAAAACTCTGACTGACTTTGTGGTTGGTAGTTGAGTGTTTAGACTAGTGAATCAAAGCTGCGCACAACTTTTGATATCACAAAATGTGCTCATTCGCTATTGTTAAATCGAATTTTGATGTTTGGCTGTGAAGGGAATACCGAGGGAATACATCGCACTGATGAAGGCAATCTACTCGAACTCATGCAGTTAGCCAGGGGAGAGCCTATAAGGAGGGTTTTCATCTGAATTGATGATAACCAGTGGTGTCCGTGATATCCGTCCGTCAACCAAAGGACGTGTGTGTTATGTCCAGCGGTTCGCTTCGTCCTCTTTTGTCGCTGCGAGTGAGGCATGGACATTGAAAATGGATATAAGTATAAAACTTGGGCACTGTAGTAGAGTATAACTCCATTATGGATAAGATTTTATTTTGATAAATCACACTGATGACTTTTCGAGCACAAACTATTGCTCATAATCATATCAAGATAAAAATAGATGACGTGAAAAGGCTGGCTAATTATCGTCGGTTTTAGGTGCCTGCGAGAAACACATTCATCAGCCTGAAATCAATCTGAAAATCTTCGTCACTCAGCATCACCAACAAAATTCGGATTTTCAATACAAACGTAAAGTCAGTTCTTCTATACGGATCAGAAACTTGGCGGGTCACAAAGAATATTTCCAAAAGGCTGCAGACCTTTTTTAACAACTGTCTTCGCTCAATACTGAAGATCAGATGGCCGGAAAGAATCACCAACAAAGAATTATGGGAACAAACAAGGCAAGAACCAATTGCCAACCAACAAATATGCAGGAGAAAGTGGAGATGGACCGGACACTCGTTGAGGAGACCGCTGGGTGACATCGCGCGCCAAGCCCTCGAGTGGAACCCGAAAGGGAAGTGGCATGTGGGACGTCCAAGGGTGACACGGAGGAGATCGTGTGAAGAGGAGTTGAAAGAATATGGATTAACATGGATGCAGGCGAAAAGTATAGCAGAAGACAGAAGAAAATGGAGACGTGCAGTTGAAGCCCTATGTTCCACTAGGAACCCAAGGGAGCAATAATAATTAGGTGCCTGCAGTCTATCTCCTGAGTTAGGCGTTATAATAAGGTTAGTAATATTGAGGTTTGGTATCACTAGAGTGCTATTTAAGAAGTGGAAATCAGTCGACAAGCTTTTGGAGTTACACTGATTGAGATGGTGAAGACATGTGTTGCGCCTTCCTAGCCATTGCCTTCATCGATGGGCAACGTTAGCTAAAGTAGGATCAGGTTGCAAAAAACGTATTGGTGGGTGGACAGACCAAAACTTGGCTTCATCAGCCAATAAAATCCATAACAGTTAGTTTTAACCGGCTGCGTAGGGGGAGGTAGATGTAGACGTCCTGGTTGAAGTCTTCGAGATGGTAAGAACCAATGGCTGAAGATCGTTATCCATAGGATAAATGCATTCATTTTTTTGTGATGATTTATTATATCCGATAGAACTCTATGGTTTTTTCATATTACTATTCTTTTTGTTTCATATTTCTGTTTATTATTTCCCTTTTGAATTTCCCTTTTCTTGCTTTGTGTGTCATATATGCAGTGTGGCAACTCGAACTGCTGCACTTTTATACAAAGTTCTACATTGAAACCAGTCAGTCAGTCAGTCAGTCAGTGAGTCGAAGTAAAAGTATCTATTTAGTTGGTGAAAAACGCATATTAGAAACTTTCAGTTGATCGTAAAACTTGGAGGATCTGAACTTCTCCGATGATACATGTCTGATTTCCAACAAACTGGAAGATATGCAAGGGAAAAGCAACAAGTTGACAGAGGAAGAAGCATCAAAGATAGGACTCCAAGTAAAAATAAAGAAAACAGACGTGATGAAGATTCTGGGCAACAGCAACAGCAACAACAACAGACAACAATCAGCCAGCATAAATAGGAGGAACCTGAAAGATAAAACCTCCTTCACCTACCTACCTGGGAAGCATCGTTTCAACTACAGGCTGGCGGAAGTGACGAGGATATCAAAGCAAGGATCGGGAAGATAAGGCAAGCTTTCATTTCTCTCAGGTTTGTGTGGAGATCAACAGCAATCAGCATGAAAATGAAAATAAGATCCGGATTTTCAACTACAATGTGAAGTCAGTCAGTGCTACTCACTATACGGATCAGAGACTTGACGAGTCATAAAGAGCACCTCAAACAAACTACAGACCTTCAATAACAGTTATCTTCCCTCAATACTCAAGATCAGATGTCCAAAAAAGGTCAGCAACAAAGATCTCTGGCAATGAACGAAATAACCAGGAACCGATTGTGAAACAAATAGGCAGGAAGAAATGGAGATGGATTGGTCATACTCTAAGGAAACCGTCAAGTGACATCACTAGATAAGCCATCGCCCGAGTGGAACCCGAATGGGATGCGGCGAGTTGGTCGTCAGTGCAAGGGTGACTTGGAGGAGATCTTGTGAAGAGGAGATGAAAGCGTGTGGGCAGACTTGGAGCCAGGTGAAAACTCTAGCAGAGAACCGAAGCTAATGGAGACGCGCAGCTGAAGTCCTATGTTCCTCTAGGAATGAAAGGAAATAATAATAATCAGTTGATCATTGAAGGAGGCGTAAAAAAGGCTCTATATTGCGTAAGGATCTGTCGACAAAAACATGTCGACATTCGCATAAGGTTTTATGAAGAGATAGAGGCCTACGAAATGGCAAATGAGGATATATTCGACAGACACTAACTACTTGGTATTCAATATTTTCTTTAAGTTAATTCTGAATTCCCCCAATGAGATGATGAATTCAAGTATTGGTTGTTTTTTTTAGGGATTTTGTTTGATTGGTTGGTGGATTTTCATCATGTGAGCTGACATCGATTAGAGAACCATTGGAAAACCACCATAGAGTACTCAACGTCTGTTTCATCCTAGTACCTGTGAGTTATCACAGTACACACCCACCTACCGGGATGCGAGCCCAGAACCTTCTAGTGGGAATCCATGACCAGTAGGGTACAGTAGATTGAAAGTGAGGCAGTAACTCATCGAAGAAGACATTGTGAAGTGATCGCGCTATGTTGTGCGTGAATTGGCAGAAGTTAGAATTCTTGGCCCATTAAAAATCGGTTCCCAATGGCTTAATGGTCTACGGGATGATGAACTAACAATAAGTAAATGTGTGAAAAACATTCATTCAGACATCTATAAAAAAACAAAATAATTCAGCAAAGAATATCCTTTTCAATAATTTCCCCTTCTGGCTTTACAGTTATATATATTTGCTTATACACATAGAATATTCTATGATAATAGTCAATAACAATATTAGTGCTTTATTAAGTAATATTGATTTGTAAAGTAAGATCACTATTGAATTACAATTCATTAATGATGCTTAAATTATAATAATAATAATAATAATAAGATATAATAGCAAATAGAATATCAACTGAAATTAGTAAAATTCCCCCAAAACTGAGGATCATTCAAACCTAGATGGCCAAGGTAAGGACAATGTCTGAACTAGCTTCTTTTGAACATATAAATAAGGCTTCTTAATGTGGATCCCAACGAACTCTAAAGGCGAAGTTAAGATTTGTTGGTATGCGGTAACTGACTTTGAATCCTGCCTCGATGACATCAATTTTGTGTTCTGTATCCACAAGATGAGATAGATTAGAGCTAAGAATGGATTTTGTTTGTTCTTTACTTAACCACTACGCAGGGTGATTTCCGACGAGAAACACGCCTAATTGTACAGACTATGTAACACTGTCTCCATAGGGGAACTTAAGTTGTAAGATACACATTGAAGAGGTGAAATTAGGCAGTTTATCGTTTACTGCCGAAAACAAAATAGGGGTGGTTTTGAAGACAGCGTAATTCCACAGCAGGGAATGTTCTTTTTACCTCATTCCTAAGACGTTGTGTTAGTATCTCGTTGATGTTATCCCCGAGGGATAAATCTGTAAGAATAAGGCCTTTTTAGGAACTGTTGGTGCATTGGGCTTCCTTGATTTTTGAATCATATTCTTATCAATGAACTTTTCTGGATAACCGCTTTCACTCAGCAACCGTTTAATATTATTAAGTTCCTCATCGAGACATTCATCTGATCAAATTGCTCTTGCTCTGTGAACCAAGCACTTTATCAGATTGTGTTTGTATTTCAAGGACATGAGGTTGAGAAAATGAGTATACTGACAGTCAGCTGATGTAGGTTTTCTGAATACACTTCTTCCTATCGTGCCATTCTCTTTTTTGGTCATAAGGACGTGTAGAAATGAAATACTGGAGTCGTTTTCTTTCTCAATAGTAAAATTTATTACAGGATGAACATCGTTAAATCTGTTCATGCAGGATGTTCTTTGCTTCATCCTCACTGACGTAGAATTCAAGTTCATCAATTACAGCTGTCAAAGGTTCACTTTCTAGGTTCGCAAGGAAAATTTCGGCGTAATTTATATCCTTACAGAGATTCTTATAAAGTCGTTATTTTGAATTTCCCATTCACAATTGATTATATTGGTGTATTGAGGCTAGGTGTAGAGTGTTGGGTTAACAGGGCAAGTTAGTCATTGAGGTTTGAAAGTTACATCGTTTGAGATGACTAAGACGCGTGTTGTGGATGCCTAACTATTGCCTTCCTAGACGAGGAATGTTAGCTGACTTTGAGTTGGGTTGGGAGAGTTAGGGATGATCAAACCAAAGCCTGGCATCAATCCATGAAGTTGTTAACTGTTGGCTTGAGCCAAACGTGTATGGAGATGTGGACTGCCTAGTTGGTGTCCAAAAGATGCTAAGAATCAATGGAGGGAGACTATGAGGGGGGTCGACTCAAAATTATTCTCAGTAGTGTAGGTGTATTCACTCTTTTCAACCTTCTAGATTGATTAAGTCCTCTTGTTTTTTCCATTTTGCTATTCTTTTTGCACTACATGTCTGCTCATTACAGTTTCTTTTTAAATTTCTCTGTCTTCTTTTCTCAACGGTCGTGACTTCTTTTCTTTCTTTATTCCTTTACGTTCCCCAATAGAACACAGGGCTTCAAGCTAGATGCTTGAATTTTCTGCATCAGTGGTGATCATTTTTACGGGATGGGGTTGCTAGCCTCATGCCCAACCTTTCCTCTTTACTGAGGTAAAGGAGTGTGTCGGCCAGGGATCGAACTCCGGTCGTCGAGCACTCTACCACTGCGCCACCAACACACATACAGACATTTAATTGTAATTATTAAACTGTTCATATCTAACAAGACCGCTGTTGGTGTGTTATACCTGGATTTTAAGACAAATGTATAAATTAAATGGAATGCTAAGCCGTATAAGCAAATATGTATCCATCTACTCCTTGCTAGTGGTAAATGTATTATCTCCCTCATTTTTTACACGCAGTAGTGAGCATGCTTAAGGTTGTGTTATGCCTGGTTTTTCTCTCTTGACTTGCTAAAAGAGACAACCATCTGCAGTTTATTAGCAACACCGTCATCACTCCATGACGGAGACTCATGGAGTACTCAATAACCCACCTCCAGACTAATAAGTACTTTAACATAGTTATGTTCTACATATTCAACTCCCTAAATATATTTCTAAGCTTAGAAAATACACTTGCTTACTATCAGCTGATTTTCGAAGTTGCAGGAAAAAATTGAGATCCACCAACCTAACCACATATTACGGGATTCACCGTCGGCACATATAACGACGTTGGTCTGTTGTGAACCGACTAGTCTAATGTTGGCGAGTGACATATAAATGGCTTCAACACCTTACGTGTTCAGAAAACTGCCGGAACTTCAGCACAAACACAAGCTATTCCTTTGATGTGCTCAGCCGAAAAACAGTTGAATGGTCACTTCAAGGTGTGGATGTACAAAATTAGGTCGTCAACCTCGACTAACTGGTGGAACTGTAGCTTTACATGGATAGCATTTCCCAATTGCAAAAATCCAATGAGTTCAGTGCTAACACGGTTGTGTGCGTTATTTGAATTTTGGGTAACTTGAACTGCTGCATTTCTGTGCAAAGTTCCATGTTTCAGCTCAGTGAGTCAGTTCGTTGGTTATGTTAGATCAAATTACTGTCTGTCTGCGTTAACAAGTCTACTCTTAGGATAGACACTTCGACGATGCTCCGTGATAATCATGACTTTACTCGAATTATAGGGGCTATCAGTGGACTTCGCCGATGATATATGTCTGATTTCCCACAAACTGGAAGATATGCAAGGGAAAAGCAACAAGTTGACAGAGGAAGCATCAAAGATAGGACTCCAAGTAAAAATAAAGAAAACAGACGTGATGAAGATTCTGGCCAACAGCAACAGCAACAACAACAGACAACAATCAGCCAGCATGAATGGGAGGAACCTGAAAGAAACAATCTCCTTCACCTACCTACCTTGGAAGCATCGTTTCAACTACAGGCTGACGGAACTGATGAGGATATCAAAGCAAGGATCGGGGAGATAAGGCAAGCTTTCATTTCTCTCAGGTTTGTGTGGAGATCAACAGCACTCACCATGAAAATGAAAATAAGATCCGGATTTTCAACTCCAATGTGAAGTCAGTGCTACTGTACGGAACAAAGTCTTGATGCTCTCATAAACAGCATCTCAAACAAACTACAGAACTTCATCAACAGCTGTCTTCGCTCAATACTACTCAAGAACAGATGGCCATCCAGAAAAGATCAGCAACAAGGGTCTCTGGCAGTGAGGGGACCAACCCAGCAGGAACCAATTGTGCAGCAAATAAGCAGGAAGAAATGTAGGTGGATTGGCTGGCCATAGTCTGAGGAAACCATCGATTGACATCAGTAGACAAGCCATCGCTCGAGTGGAACCGGAAAGGGAAGCGGCGAGTCAGTCGTCAGTGCAAGGTTGACTTGGAGGAGGTCATGTGAAGAGGAGATGAAAGCATGTGGTCAGACTTGAAGAGGAGTGAAAAGGTTAGCAGAGAACCGAAGGCGATGGAGACGCTCAGCTGAAGCCCTATGTTCCTCTAGGAATTAAAGGAAATAATAATAATAATCAGTGGTATCGAGGACACCATCACTCAATTAGTACACAAGGGCATTCAATTGAAGAGTTTCAAACAGGACGAAAGTCACATTCACTGGATTACATTATTAGCCCCAAATGACCCAAATAATACAATGATTTTCTTTGAATTTGTGTTGTACTGATTTGTTTGTTTGTGAATTTGGTTACTGAAATGATGTATATATTCAGTTACTTATTTATACACATTCCTTTATTCTTACAGGTCGTATAGGTACTCCACATTATATGGCGCCAGAAATGATTCGTCATGAACCTTATGGTAAAGCGGTTGATGCATGGAGTTGTGGTGTTCTCCTATTTGTCTTGCTAAGCGGTTCGCTACCATTCTATGGGACAAGAGATGTTCTCTTTAAACAAATAGTTTCTGGACGTTATCATGTAGGCATTTTATTTATTAATTTTTTGAAAAATTTAATATTTATATTAATAATTAATTAGGAATATGTATTGGAATGAAGTTCCACCAGTGCTAATAAGAAGTTGTAGCCAGCGGGATTCACTAAGTCGGACGTGATACTTAACAGTGACACGGGTTAGTGGGGCGCTATATATCTCAAATCTGCAGTGGTTAGAATTTTCAGGACGTGCGTGCGTCCATCCTAATGGTTGTATAGTTAACGGAATCACCACATAACCTGAAGGTCCTGGGCTGTATCTTCGCTTTAGGCGTGGATGCATGCTGCTGAAGCGTCCCAAAGCAGGATGATGAGACAGCTTTCTAATCCTCTCCGATTGTCAATTTCTCTCGGACTGATGTAACTCCGTAATCTGTCACTCAGATACATAGAGTTTAATAGTCAGTTAGTAAAAACAGTGTCATTTTAATAAAATATCTTTTATAAATAAAGATATTGTGAAGGAAAGATATTTGAGCTATATTCAGGTTGTGTATTTCGTAAGTCTGAACTTAATCTTAATTTGTAAATTCTAGAAGGACAGTGAGATTGAACTCAAGCGAAATAGGGTATTATAAGTAGGTCTGCTGGGACAGTTTGTTTAACTTTCTCCTCGTGAATTATTCATGAGGACATCTGGTTTGACATAGAAACCTAAGTCAGTTAAAACTCCAGCTTAGAAGATTAATTCACTGGTAACATTCATATCACAGATTACAACTGTGGCCTACAAAGTCTACCTACTTCTGGTTGTCAGTGTCAGATTATGCTACCTTTGGTGCAAACTAAACATGAAGTTACCCAACAAATGGTGTCTGTACTGCCCACCAATTCTCTCCGCTTTAGTTGAAGGATTTCATCATCATCTGAAATCAGTTAGAGAACCGTTGGGAAATCTGGGAGTTTTGAACGGCTGTTTCCGCCTAATGTAGGACTCTTCATGAGTACTCAGTCCAGTATTGCCAAGTTTTCCAATGGTTCTCTATCTGATGTCAGTTCATGATGAAATCCTTCAACGAATCAAACAAAATCCCTGCAGGAAAACCCAATACTTGAAAATCCCTCGACTTTAGTTTGACGGTGGCGATGCATGGCTATCACCGTTCGCATTTTAGTGGTATATGAGGTAACGCGTTGCGTAATAAGCAAGTCAGGTTTAAAATGCCAGTTAAGGAAGATGACCTTCATCGATTTACATGGCCAGATTACGTGTTAAGCATATCAAGCAGTAATTTTTCTGAAGTCGAAGTAATTTTCTTAAGACGAAAGGGAGATCAGAAAAAAACACAGTATCCAGTTATGAAGTAGTTGATTGTCGTTCTGAAGCGGGGAAAAATGGTGTTGACTAACCAGTGGTGGTCTTCGAAATGCTTGGAAATATTTTGTGCACAAAATGCTAGAACCAAATGAATCAAAGCATTTTCAGCAATCCAACTTCCCTGGCCAGACACTGTGTGGTGAGAACTGGCTGCTAGCCAAAGTTAATAGATAGTAATTCACGTCAATGTGTACATCTCCAATATTGGTCATGAGAAAAATAAGAACAAGAACTGATTCAACAACCAATCACAGTAGACTTTGTGTAGGCTGATACAATTTACAGATAGATAATCTGAACTTCAAGAAACGGCCACAAAGAGGTGAAAGATGAACGTTCAGCGAGAAACCACCAAATCAGAAGACTGTGTTTGTTTGCTTACAATAATCTATAATAATGCACATGAAAATCTATAAATATCTGTTGATTTCCGAAACAGAGGATATGTTGCCTGGCCCTTGTCTTCTGTTGTTACAACCGAAGATCAGAGGATAAGCAATAAGTGAACTATGGTGGAGAACTAGCCAGGAATTTGCTTCTCAATAAACATGCAGAAGAAAATGGGAGCAGATTAGATAGCGAGTATGAATTGGCGAGTAAAAGTTAACAATAATGTTAATAATTTGAGCAGCTTGTAAATAAGTGATGCCTTAAATTCATTTTATCTCGTTTTTTTATTGCAATGTATACTGCATATTGTATCTATAAAGCGTCAACCTCAAGTATGGAATATGATATCACCAGAGGCAAGAGATTTAGTTACACGTTTACTTGAAACAGATCCAACACAACGGTTAACTATTGAAGAGGCGTTACGTCATCCATGGATAAGTCAAAAAGCTCGTGCATCTAAAACTCATCTACATGAAACAGTTGAAGAAATGAGACGATTTAATGCAAGACGTAAACTGAAGGTATGTAAATCATCAAAGCAGTTATTCAACAAACTTATAATTTTGATTTTAATATTTTCTTATAAAAGTTAGGTTTTTGATGTTGTTGTATTCTCTAAACTGGATAGTTTATTTGTGAAGCTTGGTTGGTGACCAGTCACGTTCAAGGTCATCAGGGGAGATGACTGATAAACTCGTGGAGAAATGTAAAAGCTCACTTCACCGAATTAAAGTATGCGTCTAGTAGACCAATGAAAGCTTCACAGATTAACTATCCAGCTAAGAGAACACAACCACATCAAAATCATCCACCTGAGCTACAAATCTTCTCCATCATTTCCAAAAGTTATGTGTATATAACAGCGTTTATTTTAAGCAGAAACAGTGACTTCTTCATTCACCCAATTGCCCAATTCACATGGAGAATCTTGTTCACTAGGAAGCTGAGGAAAGGAGCACAAGTGAATTGATGTAATTGAAAAGCTTCATTGGTTAAGGTAACTAAGACCAGTGCTAGTGATGCTAATCTACCACCTCCGCCCCTTCTACAAGCAATTCTAGCTGAAGTTGGATTAGATTGGGCGGGGGAGGGGCTTTCAAGTGGTTTCACCATAGATAGAATGATACTTCATGGTGTTCTGATCTCTTGCAAGAGGCTAGGATGCGTGTAGTTTTTATTCTGCTGAAGACTAATGTATAATTATACCAGTCATTGGGTTAATCACTGTATAAAGGCATAAATATCACCAAAAGTCTTCAACCATTGGTTCTTAGCGTCTAGGGGACCCCAGCCAGGTAGTTTGTATCTCATTTACCCCACGTATCCTGATTGGCTTAAACAAACAGTTAGAAACTTCATAGTTAAGTCCCATGTTTTGTTATAGCAACCTTAAACTCTTTTCTAACCGAAGCAGATGGAAGCTTAGTACGCGTAACATATGTCCCAGCCACTGCAAAATTGAAGTACCACTTTTTCGTTACCTAATACTCCACACCTAATCTCATTACTACTGAGAGGTTGAACGCAAATACTTGTAGCCAATGATGGCTAACCTAATTATGTCTTCCACTCTTCTGAGGTTACGTCTAACAGCCGTAAAAGGAGGATGGGGTGAACTGCATCTCAGTATGTACATCCTTTAATGGATAACCAGATGTCATGGGTACACCAAAGATGATTCAAGTGCTACATATAGATAAGTTAAGGTAGAAGAAAAAGAAAGATAGATCCACAGTCAATAATGGCTTGTTATTTTCTCTTCATTGATGAACTTATGTCCAGGAAATCCTGCAAATCAAGTGACCCAATATCGCAGTACCGATTTCTTTTACTTATTAATCGAGATTTTTGCTTGTTGCCAATGTATCACCTATTAATGATCATAACATTCTACATTAGTTTGGTTGAATACTAGGTACTAACTAGCGTGATGTGTCTAGTCTTTTGTTTGGTGTAGACTGGGTTCTTCTTCTTTCAGTCAAGTATGCAACGTGACCAACATTCGCCATCACAGTGCACTATGAATTGTTAATGTTAGATGGTTAGAGGTAATCGGTCACAGGAAGCCTTGACTGGTGGCCTAGGTTTATGCTTGTTGGCACTTATCAGTCAGCAAAGCATAACTACAGCTACCTTGAAGGAACTCATTTGCCTTCTGAGATTCGAATCTGTGCCACCAAGTGCTGCAGTCAGAAACGTTACCAGTGAGCTATTCGGACTCGCGATTGATTTCCATCTAATAAGCCAAACGTAATTAACTACTAGCTCCACAGAAGGTTCAGTCAAACTGGTAGATACACATATTATTATTATTGTTTCGTCCGAGGTTCGAGTCCACGCCAACACACACCTGATATCTATGGTCGGCCTGCAAAATTTGGGCTACCGATATCCACGCTGAAAATTCCATACTTGTACCAAAAATACGGTGTGGAATCAAGCTGTAATGAAAAATAAAAAATAATAAAAAATAGAGGAACACAGGGCTTCAGCCAAACGTCTCCATTGCGTTCGATTCTCTGCTAAAGTTTTCACGTGGCTCCAAGTCTGCCCACATGCTTTCATCTCCTCTTCGCATCAACTCCTTCATGTCACTCTTACGCCAACAACCAACTCGCCGCTTTCCATTCGGCTTTCACTTGACCAATGGCCTGTTGTGTGATGTCACTCACTTGATGGTTTTTTTTCTTAGAGTATGACCGATCCATCTTCATTTATTCCAGCATATTTGTTACACAATTAGTTCCTGCTCTGTTGGTTCGCTCCCAGAGATCCCTCCTTGTTGCTGATCTTCTCTGAGCGAATATAGCTGTTGATGAAGGTGCGTAGTTAGTTTGTTCAAAGTTCCCTTCGTGACGCTCTGACCAAGTTTCTGGTCCGTATAGTAAGCAGCACTGACTTTATATTGGGGTTGAAAATCCGAATCTTATTTTTCGTGTTGATTGCTGTTGATCTCCATTTCGACTTGAAAGTATTGAGAGCTTGACTGGCTTTCCCGATTCTTGCTTTGATGACATCCTCATCAGTTCTGTCCTCCTGTCGTTGAAACGATGCTTCCCAGGTATATGGGTAGGTAGGTAAAGGAGGTTGGTTCTTTCAGATTCCTCCCATTTATGCTGGCTGATTGTTGTTTGTTGTTGTTGATGTTGACCAGGAATCTTCGTCGCCTTTGTTTTTTATATGTTCACCTGAAGTGAAGTCCTATCTTTGATGCTTCTTTCATCGTAAACTTGTTACTTTTCACTTGCATATCTTCAAGAATTCCAGATCCTCCAAGTATCTTTTTGTGTGGGTCCATTTTATGTCTGTTTCTTCGCTGCCCGCCGCTGTCTGTCGTAATATTCAGTCTACCGCAATCAGGAAAATCATTGGAGATAGTAGGCAGCCTGCCTGCCTTGTCTTACGCCTATCTTTACTTCGAAAGATTCCATGAGATACACATAGAGGCGAAATTAGGCTGTTTGTCCGTATTACTTGAATGTAAAATTCAAGTGGTTGTGAAAAGACAGTCTATCTCTGCTAATATATTGAACGATCTTCTTTTCTGTCTACTGCATTCTTTGGAGTGTTGTGTTATTATTGCACTGATGTTATCTATCACTGGGAAACTGCATTTAAAAAAAACTATAATATGTATATGTAATCTGATAAGATCAGAGATTATTATGTCCTCTATTAATATTATTAATGTTAATTGTTTTTTGTTGTTGTAGGGTGCTATATTAGCCGCTGTATCAAGTACAAAATGGGCAAGTTTTTATACAGAACCAAATATTCAATCAGATGATGACATCTTGGACGAGGATGATGAAGTAACTTCAGCAGGTAAAATTCCAAGGGTTATTATTATTATTACTGTCGCTATTCTTATTTGATTGGTAATTGTCTTTGTTTATTGTTCGAAACCTCAGTTATCCAAGACTAGACTATGCAGATGATACATTCACCGTACCTAGAAAACAAGACATAAGCGGATATTTCGGACAAATCAATTCAAAAAGGTGGAGGCAATACAATTCAATTATGAATTAGAAAGTAAGGAAGGGAAACATCCAGTGTTAGATTGTAGCGTAAAAAGGGAAAAATAATAACTTGCTTTATTCCAAAACAGTACTTGTGATACGGAATAGAATTCTCAGCATTTTACCACAGTATTGCATTCATTAACAACAAATAAAATTCTACATAGATTAAGGGTAATCTTGTATTAACATGTCAGTAGCAAAGCCAAAATTGAACAGAATGTTTGAAGGTGTTAGAAAAGTAGTTACTAGCATATTTACTGGCGTAAGTGGTAACAAAAGGATCAAGATATACAGAGTGTGAAAGAACGAAGAAGAATGATTTAAATAGAGCTTGTTAGGAAGAAAGAGACAAAACAGCACATAACATAAAAGAGAGAAAAGGAGGCGAAAGAAAGAAAAACGTTGTATCTATAAACGATATGATTTGGAAAGACGAGATCCATTTGTTCTACTGACTATTTAATAAGTTAAAGGTTTCACGCCTAATGCTTTCTTTATCGCACAGAACACGAGCTAAGTATGGAATCGTTGAGTTTTTGTACTTACTAGTGCAGGCATATAGTTTTCTATGTAGGCTTCTGGTTTCGCCTGATGAGATACAAGGGGAGAGTTGTGAGTGTAGGGAGTGGTGTGAGTTAGATTAAATGGATTTAGCCCATTTTTCACATGAGTCCAAGTGCCTGTCGACCAGAATATTAACAAGCTGGTTAGGTGTCACCCTGTGGCTTAGCCTGCTGACAGTCTTTAACATCCTGCGTAGTAAGGTATAGTCTTTCTTCAGTAGCCCAAGAAAAACTAATGGGGAACCATAGAGAATAATAGGCAGGATGCAAGAGTTAACGAATCGTAGGAGTAAGAGTAAGGGTTGGGTTAGCTTATTCCAGAATGTCTTAACTTCTTGATGTAGAAGGTAAGACGGAATATTTTCTTAGAAATCATCAAGATATGAGACGACCAGGAAAGATGAGCAGATAGTATGACGCCTAGATATTTATTTTCCAACTTGGCATCTATTTCAGTACCATCTATGTTGCACACCTCGTGAGTGCTAACCAACTTGTTTAGGTTAGATTTATGCCTAAAGGTGAAATCGACAGTTTGGTATTTTAGAGAGATTTAAGTTTGGACCGTTTTCTTTGAAACACTGACTGATCTCTGATAAAAAGCCATTTAGTTTGGAGCAGTCACTTTGTCATTTGACAGGTAGAAATGGGAAGTTAAACCCTAGTGTTTACAGAAAACGCACACATTCAAACTGATATTTGGATTTCGAATCATCCACCGCACTCTGTCAGTAAAAATTAGATTGGTGAGATATTTAATTAATAGGGCAGAAAAAAGTAATACTATGCAGGAAAATCTAGGACAGGAAGTGAGGCATATAAGAGGTGAAGATTTAAAAATTAATTATTACTGTCGAATATATCCAGACCACTGAGATTCTGGGCGTATCTTTGGTTTCAGAAGATTGGGCTTACTATATGGAAGACTATGCAGTGTAACCGACGCAGAACAACAGAAAACAGTTGGGCAACACGATTATTTATTCTTTGTGCGAGAAAGAAACAGATTTACAGTGGTTAATCAGTGCTAAAGTTTGTAAATAAAAGTCAGTATAATAATACAAGAATAAACAAAGTATTCAGTACTCACCAACACTGACAATCACCCTGATGAATTAATCATGAAGCATCGGTGGCATGGCGATTAAGACGCTAGACGACCATGCACATAGTCCGGGGTTCGATCCCCGGCCACAGACGCACTCCTTCGCCTCGCTAAGCCAGAAATAATGCTGGTAAAGAGGAAAGGTTGGGCATGAGGCTAGCAACCCCCTCCTGTAAAATTAAACACTGCTACAGAAACTTCAAGCCACTATCTTGAGGCCCTATGTTCCACTGGGAACGTGAAGGAAATAAAAAATATATGGAAAAACGTAAAATTAAAATATATGATAATAGCAATCATAGTGATAGTGATAATAATAGTAATAATATTAATGATGGAATTCATGTCAAACAAGCACAGGATAATGACAACTTTTACAATAGGGAATTAAAATCATCATCAGTAATTCCATTCAAAGAAGGAACCTCGGAAACCTGACGCAGAATTCTTAACAATCCAGGAATAAAAGTGGCTGTCATTGAAACTCATGAAATCATTTAGAAACGAGCTTTGTCGGTTAAAAGGATCAATTCTGTGGAGCCAATTAAACAAGACAATTGAGTTCACCTAACACCCTGCCAATGATTCTCATATCAATTACAAAAAGGTGAAAATAGTAGAATAGTATCAATTAGATAAATGGAGCAAAAATACCAAGCAAAATCTAGAATAGTTGACGCAAATAAGATAAGAAATCCGGAGGGTAGTTCAGCTATAGCACACACACACTGTATGCAATTGCACTCAACCATACACAATAGGCTGGATAGGATAAGATGACAGTGTTAAAATCTAATGTAACTGTAAGGGTAGAGGGAGCAGAATTAAATAAAAGAAGCTTTATTTATCGAATTAACCGAAAGTACGTGTAGTAGAAATGATTCAGCACCTGTTCACTCGAACATCTGAAAAATTCTACTACTCTTAGAACGACGAATCGGAAGGAATAAACAAAAAAAATTTCAAGTTTCGAAGTTGTGTGTTTAAAATTGACTGATATGATTACAAACAACAACAATAGATTGTGCTCAAAACTACGCGATCTAGTATTGTGTGTGATATAATTAATAAACAAATTAATATGGAATTACGTACAGCCATAATGCTCAGGTTTTACACGTATAGTAGACTATCGACCTATCACATTTATTGTTTGGGGGTTGATGACTAGGATCAACTGATTAACCGATTTTCAACATAAGCTTTCCACGTAGTTCGGTTGGATGGAGATTAATCATGAATAGAACTTTCTACAAAAGAGCATAGTTCCAAGTTATCACACTCCATATCGGCACCTAAAGGTAGAGAAATAAGGGATACGAAAGAAGTATAATTAGCAGAAAGGGATCGGCGAATGAACAGTACCAAGGAAACATATGAAGGTCTAAGTGATCTGGCAGATTACAAAGAGTGAATCTATCTTTTTTTAGCTATTAAATCTTAGAGTTTCGAGAATCCCAACCAGACGACCAACACCTCTTTATGCAACTGGCTGAACCCAACAGTCATAGACTTCATAGGCTGATGCCAGGTTTTGGTTTGAATACATTTAAATTTGTTCTAGGCTAATTCTGTATCAGAAGTTAATTGCTGGATGGTGACAAGCAGTAGAATCCAGGATGCGCACTTCGTCCTCTTGGGACTCGTCAACTGAATGTATCTGCATTCCGCAGTGAGTTATGATGTTCCCACAATGGCTCGAACCCATGGCCAGTAGTTTCGAACGCCAAAGCGTTATCCACTAGACCACTTGGGCCTCGGAGGGGACATCATCAGTCACTGCAGAATGCAGGAACATTAAGGTGACGAAACTCGAATAGGACGAAATATGTATTGTCCTGGATTCATTTGCTAGTCACCATCCACCAATTAATTTCTAATGACATGCCCAGACATCGTCGAAGCATCTGCACAAAAAGGTAACATGTCAACCTGAGACTGAGCACTTCGGTCCAATCAATCGACGGGAAAATCTGAAATTGAATTCGTTATCAATTAACATTTCTATTTCACTTTATGTACATTCACAAAATCATCGATTGACTTCCTTTCCTTACTTAACATTCTTCATTTAACCTCAATATTACTCACCATGTTATACCAATATGTAAAAATTATATTAGTAAAATCTCAAAGAAAGTTAAATGCGTAATTCCAATCTTTGGTTCGGCAATCTAGTTTGAACTTCTTCAAGGAAGGTGTGATGTTAGCTGATGCATGGCAAATCCTGATTAATAAATAAAAAATGGGCATGTATCACTAATTTATTAATCATACTTGGTCAAAAGTGTCCAATTGTCTATATCCTCTTATGGAGAGGCTAAAAAATGCTTTGAAACTGTTCACCCCCGCACACACACACACACACACACACACACACCATTGTATATCACATATATGTATTTTTCATATTCAGTAATCTACGACCATGAACGTTTAGTCGAACGTAATCACTAAAATTTTGATGAAAAGTACACTGTGTTTAAAGTGTTTAACAAAAGGCAGACTAATATTTGTAAGTGTGAGGTCAAATTTTGATCACAGTTCATACAATTTTGATTGGTTGGAGGATTTCATCATGAGTTAATAACAGTTAGAGAACCATTGAAAAATCAGGGAGTGTAACAACAGAAGACAAGGGCCGGCAATAGATCATTTTATTAAGGAAATCAACACGTATTTATATATATTTCATGTACATTACCATAGCTTATTCAAGTAGACGAACACAGTCTTCTAATTGGTTGTTTCTCGGAAGTTAAGCAAACAAAGCAGGCTTCTGATTGGTTGTTTCTGGAAACCATCGAAAAGTCGAGCCACCTATCTGCGAATCATGTTTGCCCACGTTAAGTTTGCTGTGATTGGTTGTTGAATCAGCCTTGCTCACATTTTCTCACGGCCCATATTAGTGACCTAGACATTGGCGTAGATTAATGTCTACCAATTGGCTAGCAGCCTGCTCTTACCACAGGAGTACTGGTCAGTTGTTTCATCCTAGTTTGAGTTACTACCTCACCTTCAACTCATCGAAGAAGACATTACTAAGTGGTCGGGCTATGTCGTGAATTGGCAGAATTTAGAATTCATGTGTTGGCCACTTTATTCGAGCCCCAGTGGCTTAATGGTCTATGAGCTAGCTCTCTTTGTAGCTGGAAGATCCTGGGTTCGAACCCCAGTAGGTGGGTGCGTGCTGTGGAAGAGTTCCAAAACTAGGACGAATCAGCTATCCAGTACTCCCAGGTGTTTTTTCAATCGTTCTCTAATTTATATCAGTTTCTGATGAAATCCCCCAACCAATCAAACTAAACCCTACAAAAAAACCAATATTTGTTTATTATATTTTGATGACTGTTTCATGACTCTTATGATTAGACAAAGTTTTTAAAAACAAGAGATGTCGTATTTATATATAAATCTCAGTTATGTTATTTCCGATTAATTTCCCTGAAAAAGTTCGGATCAGTTTTCCGAACGCAGGGAACGTTGGAATTGCTTAATTCAATTTCGTTGAGATCCTACATATGTCTACTTCTCACTTGGAGCCAAATTATTCTAGAACTATTCTATGAAATCTTGATCACAGTTCCTACAAATTGAAGAGATTGTTGAGAAACATTTAAATGTTTGAAATGTTCACTTTTATTTTGTCTACTTGGAAATAACATTAAATTATATCCTGTTTCGATCGCGTAAAAAGTTTTCAGAACTGTGGCTCTCTTGGTTTAGATTGTTGACTTATAAACACTTGGTAAAGGATTGAAACCCCACTCTACTTTCTTCTAACGTTTAAGGTTTCACTGACCAAGTTTCTTTGGAGTAGCAGTACTCTGAACAACCAGAACACCTGTAAACATCACTTAAAGAAATCACTGCATACTTTTTTTTTTCTCATTTTTATGGCATTTCGAATCGAATAAAGGGCTTTAAAGGCGTCGGTGGTACAGCAGTAGAATGCTCACCAACCATGCAGGTGGTTCGGGGTTCGATCTCTGGCCGACGCACTCCTTTATCCCGCTAAGTTAGTAATATGACTGGTAAAGAGAGGAGGTTGTGTATAAGGCTAGTAACCCTATCGCGTAAAAATAAGTACCACTGCTACCGAAATTTCAACTCTCCAACTTGAAGCTCTATGTTCTACTGGGAACGTAAATTAATAAATAAAAGGCTTAAGCTTTTGCTTTGGAGTTTCAGTAGCCATAGTGCTGTGTGTTTACTTGAGGGGGGTGAAGGATTGCCAGGCTTGCTTCTAGCCTTCTCTATATTCCAGATACGGCCCTCGATGAGGAATCGAATCTTGGACTATTTGCATGGTTGGTGAGCATTCTACCATTGAACAACCAATGTATCATTATAACATAATATTCAAAGGAGTTTTTGATGTGGTTGTGTTCTCTGAGATGGAAAGTTAATTTGTGAAGCTTTCATCGCCCTACTAGGCGACATCTTCAGCGCATACTTCCATTTGAAACGAGTTAAATAAAACTCCCAACTTAATCAACTACGTCTTCAAAGATATCACATTCACAAGAGAAGAGGATTCTGAGAACCAAATCCCATTTTTGGACGTCTTAGTCAATCGAACTCACATAGACCGGATTCTGAATCACAATAGCAACAATCCAATAAAATATAAGAGGAATTGCACACAAACACTATTCAAGAAGGCCAAGACTCATTGCAGCACTCCCACCTGATGGAAAATTGAAGAAAGTTATCTCATCGAAATCTTCCAAAAGAATGGATATCCGCGGATCCTCATCAAAAGACATATACCCCAAGTCAACCTATCAAACCAAAAGCCCCCAAGGAAAGTACAAAGAAAATCGCCTTTCCATATATAAAAGGTATCTCTGAAATCACTACAAGACTCTTCAAACCTTTAGGAATAGACGCTGTACACAAACCAACAAAGTCACTTCACTCAATTCGATATCAACCAAAAGACTCAACAGCGAAAGAAGATAAAACCAACATCATCTACAAAATGAATTGTAACAACTGCGCAAAAAACATTACACTGGCCAAAGTGGACGTCCCCTTCGTCTTCGTATCCATAATCAAAAATTAGCCGTCAAAACGTATGTTATTGACTCCCTCATATCACTACTACTACATACAGACAACCACAGACATCAATTCGACTGGGACAACCAACGTCTAAATATTAGACAGAGGAAACAACAAGAATTCTAGAGAATTTTTAGAAGCTTGGCATTCCAGTGAATCATCAGTCAATAGACACATCAAGATTGACAAAAGGAAGCCCACACACAAAGGGTGAAAGTTCAAGTCAAAGAAACAATCAGTTCCAACACAAGTAATCTAGAAGGTGTGAAAACACACAAAAACAACCAATCGGAAGTGATGGTTAATAAACTCGTTGAGAAATCTAAAAGCTCACTTCACCGAATCGAAGTATGCGCTGAAGATGTTGCCTAGTAGGGTGATGAAAGCTTCACAAATAAACCATCCAGCTATCTCAGAGAACACAACCACATCAAAATCATCCACCTGAGCTACAAATCTTCTCTATCATATCTATTCAAAGGAGTATTCGTTGCCTGTGAAAAAAGAAGTATCAGTTGTCACTGCATTGATATCCTTGTCTCTTTGTTTTTTTCTTAACAGCTGTCAGTGCAGTATTGGATAGTTTCGAAGAGATGCAATGCCTTACCGAATGTTTTGAAAAAGATACAGATCTATTTCAGCCAGTATTTGAAGATGAACACTTGCATTGTTTATTAGAGGTGAGTTTTCATATTTATCTTTCTGTTGTATTCTCATCATTTATTATTCCATATGTATTTATTATTAATATTGAAAATCAAAACAAGTGGTGATTCAGCGAAGAGACTTTTTTCAACAACGAATTTATTATCAAGGTGTACAATCGTATATATAAATAAGATTTAAAGAAGTTATATCCGGTGAGGGAAATGAATCACTAGATGTGAATGCATAAAATAATAATAATAGTATTAAATGTAATTTTTAGTGGGAAGCCGTGACCAGTAGGGTACAGCAGGTTGAAAATGAGGCAGTAACTCATCGAAGAAGACATTGCGAAGTGGTCACGCTATGTTGTGAATTGGGAGAAGTAAGAATTCATGCACTGGCCATTGGATCAGGTCCCAGTGGCTTAATGGTCTACGAGCTATCTCACCTTGTAACCAGAAGGTCCTGGATTCGAACCCCAGTGGGTGAGTAATGCTGAAGAGTCTCAAACCAGGACGAAACAGCTATCCAGTACTCCTAGGTTTCCCAGTGGTTCTCTAAGTGATGTCAGCTCATGGTGAAATCCTCCATGCAATCAAACAAAATCCCTAAAAAACCAATACTTAAAACTAAAATGTTTGTGATTATAATCATAGGCAAAGGTCAAGTGGCAAAGCAAATTAATGTCATGTATAGAATAATTCATAGGATGGATAGAACTTGAAAAAGGGTGTGCAATTATAGGATTAGTAGACAGATCGAATAAAACAAAAACGTTACGTAATATTGTGTGAAATTTAAAAGCATAGAATTTAACGTTGTAAAAAAAGAATTGATTTAGAATGACAAGTGGAACAAGTGAAATAATACAGTTCAAAGTGAGAGTAGTAATAGTAACAATTGACCTAATAAGGAAGAGTACACAAATTGAATAGACAAAATGAAAAATTGGTAGAGCCAAAATATGATTAGGGATTACCATACTTTAGCACACGGGGATTAAGACAATGAAATTTGGAGGGGTTGAACGAACTTTTACTGTAGACAGAGCTCCGGCTTTTCTGTTTCGATAGTCAAAGTTTCAGCAATACAGATGAGTTGGGTACGTAGTGATTTAGGTAAATTACGTTTTGCCTTGTATATGGCTTTAAAGACTGAGGCTATAGAGACAGGGTGATCATTATCGATCAGATGTTCAATGATCGCGCTTCTTATTGCTCCACTTCCACCTCTTCGTAACTACCATACAGGACATACCTGTTGGACAAAACTCAAGCCGAATGACCGATATACCTAGCTCCAAACGAGCAAATGAGTTGATAAACACGCATAGAGTTGGTCAACAGTGGGATCTTGTCCTTCAGGTTATTGAACAGTAATGGTCGATTGGTGAAGGTTATTCTTAAAGATATAGCGGCTAATGAACATTATTTTCAGGGACTGTGATATCCTTCGTTTCATGATATCGGAAGCAAGTCTCCTTTGAATTCCAAGCTCATGTACAGTATTTTCTTGGTTACGGAAGATAAGTCACATTTTGTAGGATTTAAATGTATATTCTCGTCTATAAAAAGTGGTGGAAATCGATTTTCTATTAGGATTTTCCTCAAAAGTAATAAGTTATCCTCCACCGGATATAACTTCTTTAAAACCATATGCATATATATACGATTGTACAGCTTGATAATAAATTCGTTGTTGAAAAGAGTCTCTTCGCTGAATCATCATTTGTTTTGATTTTCTGTGTGTTACAATTGGAAGTTTTCATGAATTATTATTATTCCCTTAGGTTCTAAGTGGAACATAGGGCTGGCTTCAACAACACACTTCCACTTTGTTCTATTTTCTGTTGTCCTCTCCAGCTGAGTCCGCCATTGCCCATAGTCTCTCACCTTCTCGCCTAATTCACACGATCTACTCCATGTCACCCTCACATTGACAAATCAATTGACGAAGCTTCCCATTGGGATTCCACTCGGCCGATGGGCTGTATTGAGCGTGATGTCATTCGACGACCTCCTCAATAATAAGCCCCATCAATGCATCCCCATTTCCTCGCATATATTTGTTGAGCTATCGGCTCTTGCTTGTTGATTTGTGGCCAGCCAGCGAGAGATTCTTGTTGATGATTCTTTCTGACCGGCTGGTCGGCTGGCCATTTTATCTTCAATATGAAGTCAGCGAATGCAACTGTTGATAGAATTCGGTAACTTGTTGTAAATCCTTTTCGTGACACTCAGTGAAAGTTTCTGACCCGTACAGAAGCACTGACTGACTGACTTCCCATTTGTGTTGAATATCTGAATCTGGTTCTTTATGCTGGCTGAGTTACTGCAGAAGATTTCAAAACTAGTTTCAGGTTGGTGAGGACGTATCTTGCCTCTCCGATTCTGGTTGGCTAGCTATGACATCTTCATCTGTGCCGTCCGCCTGTGGTTGAACCAATGCGTCCTAGATCAGTGAAGGAAATAACCTCTGTCAAATCACTCTCGTTGATGGAGATTGGTGCTGTTGCTGTTCATTGATTATTTTAATCACCTCCATCTTCCCCGCATTCACCTGAACTCCTGTCTTCGCTGCACTGCTTACTCAGCCAGTTTGTTGGTTTTCGCCTGTATGTTTTTGACTTTGTGTGACATCAGACATATATTATCCATATGTAAAACTTTACGTACTTGTGTAATTCAGTAGTATCTATTTTTGTCACTAAAAAATTCAACAAGTTAGAAGTTATCTTTCATAGACCGTTCTATTCCGTTCCAATCTCTGAGTGGTCAATAGGATCATCTCTTAACTTCAAGATTCTAAGTCCTATCCGCAGTGAGATCATGGCTATGTTTTGCTAAACATCCCATGACTAGGATGAAAAATTTCATTTATTGTACGCTTTAGTAGCAGTTTCTTAAAAGAATTCTATTTTGCGAACCCATGAACAGACATCAGTGAAAAAGAGCCATTGAAAACTGGGAAATACTTGACTACGGTTTCGTCCTATTTTGGGAAGCTTCATCAGTACGTGCCTTGACAATGAATGCATCGGAAGTGATCGAAGCAAGGATCTTCAGCCTACGAGGTGATTTCATTGAATATTCAGTCACTGGGAAAGAATTCAGTAGACTATGAACTTCAGCTTCTATAAATTTTTGTGAATTTCATCTGGAGTCATCGATTAGTATTTGTCCTTACGTCCAACTCAGTGGAGCCCATAGGAATCATGAATTTTCACTAGAACTCTACGGCAGAACTAAGAACAGATGGATTTCCACTACTCTCTAGTTTTCAATGGTTCTCTAGATAATATCAGTTCGCGAAAATAGTAGTAATAAGAATAATAATCGATAATATATCATTTAAAGCCATCCTAGACAAAGTTAAACTTTAAGCACCATAATTTATCAATCGAGTACGACGGCACCAATGACCTTGGAGCGCTCAGTCAGTAAATTATGGAAACCATGCAAATAACATTAGAATCATGTATAAAATATGCCTAATGATATTAAATCGGATACATGGTAAGTTTTCCTTAGGTTTGGGAATGATTAGATAATAGGCTAAAGACAGTTTGGGTTAGGTTTACCTGATAAGGAATATGTATTATAGTTGTTTCGAGTTAGATTGGGGTTAGTTGTATCAGCCTCAGGTGATTGATCTCTGACGACATCTCATCATGGATACGAAAGGTTAGTTTGGAGCTTGTTAACTTACACCATCTCTGGGTTAGTAGACATGATATTCAGTTGGCTGTTGAACAAATGATATTTGAACTGCTCAGCAGTTCGTTCCGTTCTCCTTTGTGTTTGTGAGTGACACATAATATTAGAAGTGGAAGACATGAAAAGGCTGGCTAGCCGTCTTTGATCATAGGTTTCTCCCGTGATACGTCGTACAGCAGGATAAGTAATGTTATGGTTAGGCATCGGTCGAGTGCTAGGTAAGGAGAGAAAATCAGTCGACGAGTTTGGGAAGTTAGGATATGTGTTGCACATGCCTAACCATCGCCTTCATCGACGGGAAATGTTACCTGATATTTTACATAATATCTCCTTCATCATATCTCACTGCATACAGACAACCACGGGCATCACTAAAACTGCAAATCGTTCAAACATTAGACAGAGGAACGCCAAAAAAGTTTTGGAAACCTAGTATTTCAGTGAATCGTCAATCAGTAGACACATTGACATAGACAATCGATAAGAAGGAAATCTCACACACACACAAACGGTCAAACTACAAGTCAAGTATACAATCAGTTCCAATACAAGTAGCCTAAAGGGTGTGAAAACACTCAAAGACAACCAATCACGTTTAAAGTCACTCACTAGGAGACATGACTAATAGTGAACTCGTGGAGAAATCTAAAAGCTCACTTCAGCGAATCGAAGTATGCGCTGAAGATGTTGCCTAGTAAGGCAATAATGAAAGCTTCACAAATAAACCATCCAGCCTGTTTAGAGAACACATCTGTATCAAAACTAGTACATTCAAAAATTTAAATATTATATGTGTATAGAAATAAAGTGACCAAATTAGTAACTTTCACTTTCTTAATTATTGAATTTCCGCCTCTTTTCTTATCAAGTTTATTTTTCAATTCTCCTCATCTGTTGTTATGTGTTATTAGTTTTGTTCGAAATATGTGACATACTCATCAACTGTATATGCTATTTTTTGTGATTGAACATTGATCAAGCGTGAAGTAATTTAAAGCAATTTATTAGAGCGCGTTTTGTCTTTATTCTTCGCTATTTTCTTTATTTTCTATAGCGTTCAATCTTCTTCTTATCCTTCATCTTGCTTCACCTTAATCTGTTTTCTTTGAGTCGAATGTGTAATTAGACCGCAGTTGGCTACTCGAGAATTCTTTATTGTAACACCAGTATATCCAACCTTAAAATTAAGTTTTAACTGAGGTCTATGAACAAATATTACAATAATAAATCACAATATTACTTCTGACAGTTTTGGCCTGACTTCTTTCTGAACAGCGACCGATGAGACGATGACTGGTGTATCGATGTCTCCGCGA